AGGCATTCCATTTTAGTCCTAAAGAGTGCTAACGCATCTGCATTTTTATTCTTATTTAAGAATAGGTGTAAATGTCTATGGGCCACAGCATCCACTTACCATCAGGTGGACTGTGTGCTCGCTTGTCACCCTCATTCTATGAAAAAATATATACTAAACAGTTCAGATATTAACATTAAAAAATATATTCATGATATTACCATAATTGACTGAATTTTATATGCCATAATATGTCGACAGTGGCTGCATTGTGCACAATTACGAAATACTGTTCTGTAATTACTGTAGAAAATTCTTCTGCGGTATGGTATATAACAACTTAAGGTTTAAAAAATAAGTGTACGGCAAAATTTGAAACGGATAAGTTGGTTAGTTACTGGCTCATGTTTCGCAAAACAAAAACATTGAAGGGAAACGCCTTGACACGGCATTAGTTAAACATTGTGAGGAATATGTAAGCAAAGCACTGATGAAAATCGATTATGTACAGCTGATTCTTAAAATCACGATTATTTTTGTGTACAATTAGTAACTAAATTAATAAATTTAGTCAATAATACGAAAAACTTTAACCGTACTTTGCTTATTTAACGTACTTAACTTAGCTTAAAGTATTTACTATATTATGAGTCTACCTTTGTATCCATTTTGCCAATAAGAACACAATTAGGATGAAATAACTCCGCGATCCATTAAAAATCAAGTTAAGGGTCTGAATGGTTTAAACTGTGAAGTCACAGAAAACATTATCTGCTTTAAACGCAATAAAAAGTCAGTTTCAGTTTTATAAAGAGAATCTAATGGAAGCCTGTATGTCTAAAATTTATCTAGCGGAACTGGATTTTATACATAAAAACTTCTTTAACTACAATGAATGTTTCCAAACTTACATTGACGCTGTTATTGTTCCCTGTTAACTTGTAAACTATTAGCTACCAAAATCATTACCATTACAGCCTCTCAAATGTAATAGAAATGGGTAATATTTGCTACAGTTGCCATTCTTGGCAAGTGGGTTGGCAACCGCAGTTATTTTTAATCAGTTATTAAGAAATTGCTGCCCTCCTTCAGATTCACTCTATGCCTCTCATAAGACCCGCGGGATGATATTGGTTGGTGCATATTCTTACACCGCACCGTTACAGCACGGTTTATTATTTATTTATTTCTGGTAATCATGTAATGACGATGAAAGAGCCGTGGTAGCTCAGTGGTTAACGCTCGCTGTAAATATAACAGAACGCGAGTAACCCGGGTTCGATCCCCGCCGGCACCAATGAAATTGTTAATTGCAATTTTAAGTGCTGATTTACCACGTGCTCGGCGGTGAAGGAAAACATCGTGAGGAAACCTGCATGTCTGAGAAATAAGAAGAAAAATATTTCAGACATGTGAAGTTCGTCAACACGCATTTGGGCAGCGCGGCGGACACTTCCTTGCCCTAAAAACCCTCTCAGAAATGAGGGGGAGGCCTGAGCCCAGCAGTGGGACGTATATAGGCTGTAACTTTTTTACTTTTATGTAATGACCTTTGGCTATGGTATGCATATCGTTTTTGTAAAATATGGGTGACGACCGAGCACAGTCCACCTGATGATAAGTGGATGCTGTGGCCCAGACATCTACATCTATCCTCGATTAAGAATCAAAGTGCAGATGGGATGTCACCCCTAAAGACTAAGATAGAATGCCTCGTATTCAGTAAAAGGGTCTTCGGTTCGTACACTAACCATATATATTTTAATTCATTAATTCTATCACTTAATAACTTAAGCTTATATTTTTGGAATAGGAATAAATAAGTAACAAATAACTTTCGAATACAATGTAAGTATATTTATTGGCAAAACAAAAAAACATTTGATTAAAATCAGTTTGTTATTTAAAAGTAAAAGTAGCATGATTACCTATTTTTATTTTTCGACAATCTTGAAAAAAAAGTTGGCTCTCAATTCATCGGAATATTTTTTTTGTATATTCAGCAATCATTCTTTACCGCCTTAACCGATTTTAATTATTTTTGTTAAAAATGGAGAGGACTTCAAATGTGGTCTTGTTTAAATTTGGTCAGGACCTGCTTTAGTGATGAAATTCAAGAGAAAATCATCAAACTCTTCAATTACCAAAAGCATACAATTGGGGGAATAATTATTTAACCACGTCAACTGATGTCGATGTTGTTTTAGTTTTTATAGTTGTTTGAAGTCAGTTTTTACTGTTAAAATGTTTAGTTATTGTTGAAAAAACTTTCTTTTTAATTGTGTTAATACTAAAATTCATAGCAGATGTAACCGTGTACCGAATACCGTGACTTATCAACAAATTACGTTAAGGACAAATTATTTATAAAAACATTAGATACATTAATCTAGAACATACTGATATTTTTATTAATTTTTATCTGCAGACATGAAATATATAGTCCTTGCTAAGTTACGTAATATTCAAAACATGAACAAAAACAAAAACACAAGTGGCAAAATTAAAAATTTTGTACAACTGACTTCAATATTAAATAAAATAAGAACATGATCAATATATTCGAATTCAATTAAATACGTGTTATTAAGGAACAAAACTACTGGTCAGATTCTGATCAAATTTATATGGGATCACATGAGAAGCAAATTAAAAAAAGAATCATAGAAATCATTTTACCTAGAAACGATTCTGAAGTAACGCACATAAAAAATTCATACAGTCGAATTGAGCACCTTCTCCTTTTTGAAGTCTGTTAAAACAGAAGAGAATGATCAAAAATATGGTTGTATGTAACATGACAACCTTACAGTTTTGGCTGTGAAGAATTTCAATCATGAAGGTTAGAGAACAGGAGAAAGATCACTACGTACTAAAGCATAGCCCGCCTGTCTTTGAAAATTGTAGAATACATAGCGGCGCTGACGTCTTTGAGTAGTGTCTGCGAAGTTAGCTATTTATGAGTGTAAGTAGGTGAAGTTAGTTGAATAATGTACAAATTTTCATTTAATTTTTTTCGTAGAAAATTTTCATGCTCCGTAATTTTGTAATTTTTAACAAAAAAGAAACATTAAAAAATGGAGAAATATTTTATAGTGCGTGGATGTGCAAGTGGTTGAGCATCTGATCGGAAAAATAGACTGAAAATGTATTTTATTGACTGCACTTAGTGATCGCAGCGCCTAACTTGTGTGTCCATATTTCTGGGACACTATTTTCTACGGCGATCGTTCTCCCTGTTCACTAAGCTTCATGGTTTCAATCATAAAGTTGGCAAATAATAATATAAAAACATGTGGGATACATACATTTAATTAAACATTTCACATAATTCATTTTATTACTTATTTCCACAAATACAAAGACTTCTATATATACTACTAGACCAGCAATTTAGAACAAAACTGCGTGGGCGCCGTCGAGACAACCGCTTCATAAGCGTGCCGTATTTAGCGCCACGTTTACGCAGACACGACTCTTGAATGATTTGTGCCTTTTTCTCGTTTGTCTGTCAGTGTGAGGTAAAGCATTGTCTTAAGGGGAAATATAATGTCAAATGGCTTAGCAAGATCCTTCGTTATGCCGAAAATATTGCAGCATTAATTTTGAAATAAATATATGGTAAAGTTGAGGATTAATGTTAGTGATTATGTTAGACGAAAACACGATTTCGTAAAATTTTCTCGATAGAAAAAAAATCCAAAGTTACCTCCAAAATAAACAATAAACCGCTGTTATTCATAAAATACTTTAAATAAGATCATGAAACTTTGCATACTAACTGAACTAACTATAAAGCAGTGTTTATGTTATTTACTTTTTTTAAAATACCATTATTTTCACTGTAAAAAGAAATTACCTAAACTATCGGCGTCTTGAGCTTGATTCCTGTCGTTCCGTTAGTATCGCTTAGGCTTTTGAAGGGAGAAGTTGTGTCGCTTACGATCAGAATATACATTACGCAACAGTACGACGTAAAATTAAAATGGGAAATAACCGTGATAAAAATAAGAAGCGGCTGGCTTGGCTTTAAGAAACAGGCATAAAAATGATAAACCTAATGAAATAAGTGTCTAACGACCTTTCTACTTACAGTATTATTGATTACAAATATTTCGGTACATAGCGTACGACGCGCGGGGAAGTGGGGGCGAAATTAGAATTTGAGCTGACTTACTCTAACCTCTTAAACAGTAAATAAATATAATGAACATTTCGGGAAAAAAAAAAAAAAAAAAAAAAAAAAAAAAAAAAAAAAAAAAAAAAAAAAAAAAAAAAAAAAAAAAAAAAAAAAAAAAAAAAAAAAAAAAAAACAGAAAAAAAAAAAAAACTAAAAAAAAAAAACCCCCCCCCCCAAAAAACTTTTTCTTTTATGGACCTAATATCTGTGTAGAGGAAGTTTTAAATGTAAACGCAAATTAATTATTATTGTTTATAATTTAGTTCGAGGGCGAGGTAAAGCATTAAGTTTCTCTTACATATTTATAAGCAGCCATTGAATAATAATGCAATGTAAGAGCAAATTTTCGGACACAAAAGTTGGCATACGTTATTTTTTGAGTTGTCTACACTTTTTAATGTAATGTGTAATGATTATATACAACTGCAGCTACTTACTTTGTTTTCATTGACAATTACACTTTCCATAGTAAAATTCGATTTTTTTTAATGCCTATTAATTTTTAAATTTGAATATTCTACTAATGGCTTATCTGTATGAATAATTCTCATATTATATAACTTCGACAAGTCACTATTTGTTGGTAAATAAAGTGGCATACAAATCAGAAACACTTCAAATCACATTGAAAAGTGCGCAATCATAATAAGAGCGTTTTCTTAGTCTCGAAATTAGTGTTATATTGTCGAAAAACAGAGTACGCGACATACAAAACAAGGAACTTGTCTTCTCGCCCGCGCGCTGTAGAGTTAAAAAATTACAGAGAAGTAGCCGTAGCTTAGAGCACAATGTTTCAAGGCCGCAATGCCCGTAGTATACGTAGAAGTCTTAATTTCAATTTTTACACAAAGAACATTCGGCTAAAATCAAGCATTTTTTTCAAAACGTGTAGTCTCTTGGGTTTTCTTTCCAAATCTTCATTGTTGAATGTGTCACCACTGTAAAAAATTTACATGAACATTAATAAAGTACTTATACATCTCATAAATAAAGCAAGTCCTGAATATCGATGCTATACTTAAAATTTTAGAGATATTTTATTAATATGTGTAGATGTCTTTGGGCCACAGCTTCCACTTACCATCAGGAGGATACTCATTCTATAAAAAAAATACATATATTGCCGGAACTGTCATGAAAATAAAAGTGTAAACAGCACAGAAGGAATGGAAAATTCGGTTGAAAGGATTTATAACTATATATAGGACTAACTATTGTAAGTTCTAATGAAAATAAAATAGTTCACCCATAAAATATGATACAAAGTAAACATTATGATATTATAACATCCATTTCTAGGACGACATAGTTATAGATTATTAACTATATTACCACAAAATAAACGAGATCACAATGTACGTAGTTATACAGTCGGGAAGTAGCCGTAATATCCTAACAACCTGTTGATCGCAAATTGTCCTGACGAAGCTTTTGATATTAGATTACTGAAAATATGTTATGAAGTGTAACGTTACAAAAGACGCTGACTCCATTGTATGTGTAATTGTTATTGCTGATCAAACCAAGGCGTCATACTTTCAATCAACAGACTCGTTTTGACCATCCTATATAAGTCGTTGCATTTAGAATAAGATTCATAATAGTCTACTTCATTGAAGTAACGTAATCACCTAGTTAAGGAAGTGAGTATTGTAGTGAATTAGCTTTAATTAATTATTGGTAACGAAATAGTAATAAATGTCAGAGGCATATTATTTTTACTTATTATATTATTTTTACTTATTATATTATTTTAACTTATTATTTTTACTTTACGATTTTTATCGCGTCAAATTTTTACGACCTTTCGTGGGGGGGGGGGGGGCTGAGATGTTAGACGTCCCGAAGAAAAAAGAAAGAAATCTGCATAAGTTGATTTATAGGTCTTTTTTGGTGAAGTACAAGGGCGGGACATTCTTTCACGAGATTGGTACATTAAGGATGACTCACGGTCCGAGCCGTGTCGACGGTAGCACAGTCACCGAGCCGGTTCCGTGTCTGTAATTACAAAAACGGGCTTCGATCGAGCGATTACCATTGCGCCGTGATGCAGTATACTCATCGAGCAAAAATAGTGTCGTGACTAGACTACAATCATGTTGAAGTTTGACGATCTGGAATTAGCGGTTATTGCGATTGCTCTGGACGATGAAGAATCTAATAAATCTTTAACTACTAGCCGAGACCGAGTTGTTGCCGAGCGTTGACCGTTGCTCGGCCGTCACTCGGTTGCCGCTCGGTATAGCGTGAGTGTGTCCATGCAAAATATATGTAATATTAGTTAACCGGCATATGGTCTGACACAACTGGTTACTTCGTCTACGCGGATTCCAGATGTAGAGGATCATGCACCTTCCCTGTTGGACCTTCACCACACTTGATCCTTCCTCACCAGTCTAGTCCGGAACGCCCTGACTATCAGATTCGAGCTTTCTTTGCATCCTACCCTTAGGGGCGGGTTTGCTTCTCGCCGGACGATCCCAACGTCGTTGCTGATTCAGTCGCTGATGTGGTACTTCAGGGTATGGAACTTTTTATTCCTTCCTTCTGCTGGTGCCCATCGGAGGCAAATCTCAGCCATGGTTTGGTCGCTCCTGTAAAATAGCATCATGCTATAAGCAGGAGTGCTACCAAGCCTGGGATGACGCATCAACGTCCCGGGACGTAACCACCAGCGCTCTAAAAAGAAGTATAATTCCGCCTCCAGGTCCTTCAAAAGAGTCATTGCCAAGGCAAAGTCAGAGCACATAGGCAGAATTAGCGAGAAACTAGTTCACCTTCCTTCTGGAACCCGTACATTCTGGTCTCTCGCCAAGGCTGTCCAGGGGAATTTCTGTCAGCCATCTCTTCCATCTCTGCACAGGGAGGACGACTCACTGGCCTATGCCGAAAAGGAGAAAGCCGATCTGCTAGGCTCTTTCTTTGCGTCCAACTTGACTCTCGGTGACGTGGGGGTACGCCACCGACCGCTGTGTGAGTGCTCCATGCCGGAGGTGCGGAGGTGCGGACATCCACGAGGCCCACTCGGGTCTGAAGGATTTCCCCCAAGCTGAGGACGTGTGCTCTAGAGTTGGCACCGGCCTTAACGCGTCTTTTCCGGTACTCCTACTCCCTAGGCGTAGTCCAAAAATCATAGAAGACGGCTTTCGGCCACCCGATCCCTAAATAAGGCCACCGCTTAGACCCGTCCAACTAAAGGCCTATCGCCATCACCAGAAACAGAAACTTTTTTATTCAATGTAGATTATAACAATATTTATTGAAAGTCACTTTTTTAATTTACCACTGGTTCGCAAAAAAAAACCCCTGTCCTGGGAAGAACCAGCAAGAAAGACAATTTTTTTTCCATTCTAGCGGTTCTATTTTTGTTCTTCAAAACAATGGAGTCCATTGTAAACTGCCTGCTCATGAGGTACCTTGAGGATCACCAGCTGATTAGTGATCGCCAATACGGTTTTTGTCGTGGTCGATCAGCTGGTGATCTTCTGGTCTACCTGACTCATAGATGGGCGGAGGCAGTAGAGTCCAAGGGGTAGGCATTGGCCGTTAGTTTGGACATTGCGAAGGCCTTCGATCGGGTTTGGCATAAAGCGCTTCTTTCGAAGCTCACTTCTTATGGGCTTCCTGAAAAAAAATTTCAATTGAATCATCAGCTTTCTTGCAGATCGAAGCAACAAGGTCGTAGTAGACGGTGAAATCTCCGATTACAAGTCTATTAATGCTGCCGGGCTAGCATGAGCAGGGGATAAAAATTTTATCCACCGATTATATCCACTGACAAGGGATAAAATTGTCTTATCTCTATGTCAAAGCTTTATCCACCCTGCGAGCATGGGCCTATGGTGGATATAATATCGACAGTAGATAAACTTATCCCCGCGCAGAGATAATATACCATAGTATAAAGCTATAAACTATACTAGCTATAAACTAGTTTTAAGATTAAGTAGATTTACATTAACTTATATTTTCTTTTTACCTTTTATTTATTATATTGCTAAACTGTTCATAATTTTTGTTAAACAATATGTCATTTATAATATTTGTTATATTTATTTTAAGCGTATTTCTGCCTTGTTTTTATTTTTTCTATTATTCTAATTCTTTCTTTATTTTTTTTTGTATAATATTTAAGTTAAATATACATTGCTTGTATCAAATCGCAGGTATTACTTCGCTTGTGATAGCATTTATTAAAAAATATGTTTAGAATTAAGCCAATTGTGAAACTGGGCAATATAGACCCTTTGGAGGTGGTGTAACCTCTTGAAGAAATTAAAAAAAATATATCCCCGCAATTACTGCCATTATAAGAAAATTACGAAATACATCAAAATTGATGTCTACTCTAAGTCACAAAGATTTAATTTTAATTGAAAATGATGAAGTATGAAGAATAAAAATGTAATGATTTCAAACAAAACAAGGAATAAATAATTTTATAATCGTGAGTATAGTATATTTAGCAAGCTTTGCTAAAGAATTAACATATTTCTTAATTTAAACCTTTGAATTGTAACTTTACTAAGTTTGATAACTTTATTTTAAAACGTTATAATACTTACCTAAAATATAGTATAGACCGATTCTATTATCATTAAATTTGACTTGACCATGGACTCGCCTTGGGTATTGTTGACACAACCTATGTAATTAAATCATGGCATTGAGCTATTGAGACTTTTTTGGACAAGGTGGTTGTAATAGATGCTTACTTCAATATGCACTGGGAGTCCATCCGCAGAATTAATAGGCTTTAAAGCCTTGTAGAGTTCTTTACACAAATACAAAACAATCTTTGAGCATCCGAAACCGGCGTAGAAATTCGTTGTCGGAGAATTCCAATAGATTAAGTATTCTGATCACGTATCGATCGCTGATGTAATTCTCTTTCTTGTTTTTCAATTTCTGACACGAAAATGTAGTTGCAATAGGCTCGAGATATCTTTTTTGTATTAAAATGGTTTGAAGATAAACTTAAACCCACGTCCGCGAAAGAGGATAAAATTGTCCCTTTCAAATGTCAAAAAGGGATAATTTTTTCTCTTTCCCTTGGCCCCATGCTACGGACGGGGAGATATATGTCCACTCGTTATGTCAAACGGGGATATACAATAGATATAAGATAATTTTATCTCTTGTCAGTGGATATAATCGGGGGATATAATTTTTGTCTCTCACCCATGCTCGCAGGGTGGATAAAACTAAGCAAGGGATAAAAATTATATCCTCTCTCCGGGGATATATTCTCTCCGGCTCATGCTAGCCCGGCTGGTGTTCCACAAGGCTGCGTGCTATCACCAACGCTGTTTCTTTTGCATATCAATGATGGCTATACAAACCGGCAACATTCATTGCTATGCAGATGACAGCACTGGTAATGCTCTGTACACCGGCCGTGCCAATATTTCTCGGGAAAACGTCTCCAAGTACCGGGACAAACTTGTGTCTGAAGTCGAGTGAGTGTTGCTGAACAGTCTCGGATTGGGGTCGGCTAAATCTAGTCCAGTTTAACCCTCAGAAGACACAAGTTTGCGCGTTAACTGCTAAAAAGAACCTTTTTGTCGTATCTCCTGAGTTTCAAGGCACTCCCCTTGTTGTCCCCTTGTATCGGAATCCTCGGCGTCGACATATCGAGTGACGTGCAGTTTCGTGTGGTCACTTGGAAGGGAAGGCCAAAAGGGCCTCTAAAAAGCTTGGCGTGATCAGTAGAGCGGGACAGTATTTCATGCCGGCACACCGCCTGCAACTTTACAAGGCGCAGATTCGGCTGCATATGGAATACTGTTCCCATCTCTGGGCTGGGGCTCCCCAGTGCCAGCTCCTTCCACTTGGCCGCATCCAGCGCAGAGAGGCTCGAATATCACAGACAACCGAGTGCTTTCCGATCGGCTCGATTCACTTGCGCTGCGAAGAGATGTTGCATATCGTTGCATTCTCTTTCGCATATACCACGGGGAGTGCTCTGAGGAATTGTTCGGATTAATCCCAGCGGAAAATTTTTATGAACGCACTACGCGGCAAACCTCCCGATACCATCCACACCGTCTGGATGCTTGGCGGTCCACCACTGTACGTTTCACTAGGAGTTTTCTTCCGCGTACGACTTCTCTATGGAATAGTTTACTACCGGCGATTTTTCCGGATCGACACAACCTAGGGACCTTCAAGAAAAGAGCTTACACCTTTCTAAAGGGCCGGCAACACACCTGCAATTCCCCTGGTGTTGCGGTTGTTCACGGGCGGCAGTAGTCACTTAACATGAACCGTATGCTCGTTTGCACCCTCTTCTATATTAAATAAAAAACCGTGCCATGGCCGACACTCGGCTCGGACTTGATACGGTTTAGTGTGTCATCCTTTAGTTAATGTTCTTAATTCATCGGACATTCACATGACATTCACCTGTAGTACTTTGACAACGCTATTATTTGGTGCTCACGACTCGCGTCGCTATCACACACACGGGCACGTACACAAGTACGTACTGTTATGGACCGATGTATAAGTAATTTCTATTATGTAGAGTATATAAAAGTGATTTTTCATATATAATTTATGCACTCTTATGGACCGATTTATAAGTAATTGCTATTATGTAGAGTATATGAAAGTGATTTTTCATATATAATTTATGCAGTCAAACTTTAATCTTTGTTCGATAAACCACTGTTTTATAACTTCAGATGTGTAATTAAATTAAGTTATATTTGGTCAGTAAGTATATTTTCTAAAAAGGACCGAAGGCGAGTCACACTAATAATTTTGGTGTCACAAGTGGGAAGCCTGGAAAAAGTTGAAGTAGCGGGATTGTTAAGTGTTAGGCGCGTGGAGCTGTGATAGCGACAGAGCCGTGGTAGCTCAGGGGCTAAGCCCTCGCTGTAAATTTCACAGTACGCGAGCAACCTGGGTTTGATCCTCGCCAGCACCAATAAAACTGTTAATTACAATTAGAAGTGCTGATTTACCACGTACTTGGCGGTGAAGGGAACATCGTGCGGAATCCTGTATGGCTGAGAAATAAGAAAAAGTAATATTTTGAAGACGTGAAATTCGCCAACACGCATTGGAACATCGCGGCGGATATTTCCTTGACCTAAAATCTTCCGTGAACCTCACCGTTCATTACCACGGTCTTTGTCTAAGCTACCAGCTGTCGACGCTCTTGGGTAGTTGATCTTTGTTACATATGTCTAAGCCCGTACGGTCAAAGATAAGACTCCGTTACCAAGCGCCACATTTCATCATTTTAGAACCTGCTGCTCCCTCGTGGTCGACGTTAAGGTTAAGCCTCCACTTTCGAGTATGAGCCCGCATCACAACTCCCTACACAATCGTTTCACCGAACAATTTGACTCGACACTAATATCAGACCTTGCATCACTATCTATAAGCTCTCCTCACGGAAAATGCAACGCGCTTTCGTGTTACCGCTGTAATACAGTGTTATTTAGCAATAACCGGCCAAATTTGCAGAGAAGGTTCAAAATAAGTAATATAGACAAATGATGAAGAAAAATTAATTTAAAAAATATTGTAAGACTTCCCGAGTTGTCGGACATTCGGCGATCGTAAGAGTGCGCGCAGGCATACACAATACACAATAGACAATACTGACTAGGTGAGAGACTTGGCCCGCAGGCAGGCGAGGTGCGCGTAGTACGTGGGCGTGGGGTAGGAGACGGCGCGCGTGCAGCGCGAGTACAGGTGGCACAGGTAGTACGTGAGCTGCTCCACCTCATCCAGCGGGATGCCGCCGTCGTTGCACACTGCGTGGTAGCGCGTCGGCCGCGCCGTGCCCTTGATGGCGTAGTGCGACACCTGCAACCGCGATTAGGGATACTCTCAAACTGTATGTGTACATCTGTATATATTATCGACCACCCGAAAGCAAAGGAAAGGGACAGATACACAAGAAATTAATATTAAATTTAAGTAAGCGTAATGTAAAGCGTTATTCAAATATGCTTGTTAAATAAGATATCAAAATATATAATTAATGACTTGTATCTAACACCTTAATAACATTTAAAGTTAACACTAATACTATTTCATTTAAAATTTATCGTGTTATGAGATCACTGGGGAAGTATATTCAGTTCATGGTGTTCATACCAGAACACAAAACATTAACACAATCAGTTATTTATAAAGTTATATGCATAAAAAGTCGCCAATACAATAGAATTTGAAATCTGTTGGAAAAATAGTAAAAGTCTTACCAAATAAAAGTCCAACTCCTTCGGGTGCACGATGTGCTTGTCAACAACGGTACCAGGTTCTACGTTTTGAGCATTTGCATCATGAGAGAAGAATCTAAACAAACAAGTCACTCAGTGGTTAATATTTAGAGTGCGTTGTTGCTACCTATTTATGTGACACTAGTGCTTGCTTATAGTAAGTACATTTTTATACCTAAGGCACATTTTGGATATCATACACACAGTAGCGAAGCCTTCATAGAAGCCGAAAAGCCAGGCTGGCCTTTTCAATCTGCTCAATCAACAATATCAACAAATAAAATAGCTCGTAAACTAATTCAAACTGTTTCAAATTTCCCGCGCGCTCCTCTGTTCTTCACAGGTCATGACCTCGTAGCATATATGTAACGCCAACACTTGGTAGTTTGCTTTAATTTCGAAATACACTGATTCGTGTTCTCCCGTCTCAAAGCGAACACGCAATGGACTGTCAAAATTAATGAAAGCAAGGAGTTGATTTGAGCTATTGGTCGTCTCTTTCGCACGCGTTGGCTTTTCAACGGGCTTTCGACAAGACGATCGCTCCCTTTCTAACCTGTGACAAAATGTTCTATAATGAAATATAACTACGAAATGTTTATATAGCAATTACTATAGAACCAAAAGCTGGGCTTTGCTCTGAAGCTGTTTATGAGTGTGCGGGCGTGCGGGCGATACTTTTGTAAGTTCACTTCACATTTCAATGTTATGTTTGTTTTTGTTGTCTGTTGAAAATTTATGCTTTTTCAAAGATTTTTAGTGAAAATGGAGGATAGTATTGCAGTATATATAGTAGATCAGAGTGTATATATAGAGGAGTGTTTCTTGTGATGAATTGAAATGTAAGAAGAATATACACAAGGTCAAGTGCGCCTTTCGGACTTATTAATCATCGCAATTGAAAAACAGTTATTGGTACAATTAAAATGTTCACCAACATTTTTCGCAGACGTAATCAAATCTTTCCTTAAGAAAGAGAGAATATAAATGATTCGTTTTTATTTTTTAATTTTGTACATAGTTTGTACTTTGTTCATGTACAGTTTTGTATGTAAATATCTTTTTTTTTCGCTCAAGTAAACCAAAACAGCTTTTCTAAGCCACCGAATGTATGTAATTGCTGATGTCATACAATCTATCTAGCAGTAGTATGCTTTCTAACACATCCTCGACAGCACTGAATATGAAACTGAAGAGTGGAGACAGATCAAGATTTGTGTTCTTTTTTAAAACTGCTAAAAACAATAAAACCATGTTTTGGGCTTGTCCTAGTTTGGAGCCCTAGCTTCGCCACTGTATATGCACATGTACTACTCCCTTAGTTAAGTATATGATTCAGTCTGCCTTTTGTTAACCTTTTTATATAGGTTAACAATAAAAATCACACATGTATATTAATTGAGCATGTCACAGACATACATTCGAGCAATAATAATTTGAAAATATAGTTAGGAATTCGCGAGAAAGTCATTTAATAGTTTAGTCAAAACTTTATCGAATCCTTGACAGTCTGCTGCTGGACATAGATATGCCATTACATCCACTATTACAGGCTGATTGTTTATAGCAGTGTCCAAGGTTTTTCACCTACACCATTAGAATCTAAGAGAATGTCAGTTAATTTATTCAAGAGCTTTCTTTGCTCTCTCTTAGGTTTATTTTCTTAGGCTTGTTCGACGCTATTCTATAATGGCGAAATTAGTTGGTAGTTAAAGTTACAAAAAAATTAATAACGCATTTTCGCACACAGTGCCACCGAAATTTGTTACATATCTCCGAAAAACTAGTAATTTCAAACTGATTTATAAGCATTATAGAGTGGCAGTTTCGTACCGTTAAGCATATTAGATGGAGTAGAGCTGGTGAGACAATCAAGAATTTGGTGAATTCAGGTGGCCCAGGACCGTAATTTGTGGCTTTCCATGATGGAGGTCTATGTTCAACAGTGGACTTGTGATGGACTGTAATGAGATGATGATGCTGATCATGATGCTAATGGTGATACTCATGGTGATGGTAATGACGATTATAAGAATAAATATGATTATAATAATGATAATTATGATGATTTGATAGCTCGGTAACGCAGAGGGGCTAAGCGTTTGGTTGCGGTGCGAGAAGGCCGTAGGTTCTAATCGCACATGGTACACGTAATTATATGATTCCGGGTTTAGACTCTAGAATGTTTATCGATGTTTAATTTAAGTGCACATGTAGAAAAAAATACAACATACCTCGTATGATGCCTCTTCTGTACTAATAAGAAAAGTACTTCAGGTTTGGCCGTAGTCCCAGTCAACCTTTGATATGCTCTGTATACAGCTGAGAGTTCGTAGTTGATCACCTAGGAATGAACAAAAAATTTTCATACTTTCACTCTTTTTTGTTTTCAAATATTTGATGTATCTATAAAATATTTAAACCCATCCCGCAGCTATACTGGATGAACTTTGTTACCGTCTGGGAAAAAATATGATGTAACATGTGAATGGAGTAGAAGCAGGCCTCTGGCACTGCGTGAAATAATTACCTACAATCGCGAGGCACACGCAGTCGGGGCTAGCACGATCTAGGCGATTGAATATTAAAGTTTTGTAACGCCGTTTACGTAAATTGAATATTTTTTTGTTTAGTTTTTAGTAAAATTGTAGGATAAAATAGTTGAAAATGTTTTAATATAATTTAAAAATAATATATACAACATGTAACAAAAACCCTGTGGTTCCCGTTAACTGCGTTATCAGAATCGGTATCCAAGCATATAGAAATAATTTTTTTTTTCAAAAAAGAACACATTTAAAAAAATTTATTTTAATGAAAAAAAAATTGCAAATTGTATATGGTTTTATTATCTCTGCATTGGCCGAGGAGTAAGAGGATTGTCAAAGACCCCGCAGTACCGATACTCGTGTGAGTTAGAGATAATAAAACCACATACAATTTGCAAATTAATTTTTTTCATTAAAATATTTTTTTAAAAGTGTTTTTGTAAATAAAAAGATTATTTCTATATGCTTGGATATTGATTCTGATAACGCAGTTAACGGGAACCACATGGTTTTTGCTACATGTTGTATATATTGTTACGAGCTTGAGGTTCGTGACAATAAAAATTGCCGATAAAATTACCTAAATTAACACTTTAATTTACTTTACACAATTAAAGTTAAAACACTAATAATTTAAACACACTAATTCACTTAATTCCACTCCGAAGCTTCGCTTGTGTCGCCGAGTTCACTCTGCCTCTATCGCATCTTGCAGCGCCTATATATTTAAATTAGCAAAGAAATATCCAGAATGTTCAAGTAAACACGGGCAAAGTACCGAGCGTTCGAGTTTCGACTAGGCGCTGTCAGTTGAGTGATTTGTGATGTCATTTTCTCAATGCTCCCCTCGCTCTCGTTCCTGACACTAGATGGCGCTAGTTGACTTATTCATGCAACACTGCCCCCTCCTAAGACATGCTCGTCCCGAGCATTATCGGTCCCATAGTAACGCGCCAAGCGATCCACATGGACGATCTTAGGAGTCCCTCTTGCGCCTTTCTGTATCCGGTAGGTCACATCGTTGATCCTGGTTACAATACGGTACGGGCCGTCCCATTTAGCTTGAAGCTTAGGAGATTTCCCTTTGCTGCGGACTGGATTGTGCAACCACACAAGTGAACCTTCGTCGAACCCTTTGTTGTTCATTTTGCGGTCATACCGGGTTTTCATCTTTTCAGACATTTGCTGGCCCGATTGTCTGACGTGCTCATAAACGTCATTCATTTTGTTCCGCAAGTCATTTGCATAATCGGTTATACTGCGTGGGGCATCAGGTGGTATCCCGGTGATCAGGTCCGCAGGCAGCCGTAATTCTCTTCCAAAGTTTGCGAAAGCTGGTGTCACTGCTGTACTTTCGTGAACAGAACTTCGATATGACAACAAAAACGGTTGTATGTGCTTGTCCCAATCTCGTTGCCGATTGTCTACAACTTTTGCTAGGTACCTCTCCAATGTCTGATTAAATCGTTCCACCATTCCATCAGATTGCGGGTGATAAGAAGTCGTTCTTGTTTTATGAGTACCCATAACTCGGCAAGTTTCCTGGAATATTTGAGACTCAAAATTCCTTCCTTGATCGCTGTGAATCTCTAAAGGTACTCCAAAACGACAGAAGACTTCATGAACTAGTTTATCTGCAACTGTTGAAGCCTCTTGATTTGGAATGGCGAAGACTTCTGGCCACTTAGTGAAGTAATCCATCACAACCATGAAATACTTGTTACCGCTTTCACTCTCCGGAAACGGCCCCGCCACGTCAATGGCTATTCTTTCCCATGGTGCACCAACATTGTACAACTTCAATGCACCTCTACTACGAGTCTGAGGTCCCTTTACAGCCGCACAACTTGTACATTTGCGACACCAGTCCTCGACATCGTTTCGACAGTGGACCCAGTAAAACCGTTCTCGGATCTTCAGTAGAGTTCGTTTAACTCCCAGATGGCCTCCTGAACAATCATTATGGTACAGCTGTAGAACATCCGGTACTTTAACTTTAGGGACAACCATTTGCAAATGACAGCTGTCTCCCCGAACGTTTTCCCATTTACGACACAGAACTCCATCCTGAAGCAGCAAGCTGTCCCACTGGGCCCAATAGCTTTTAGTGGTCGAACTCATCGCTGAGACGTCACTCCACTTGGGCTTGGGAGCACTGGCCTTTATCCATTCCAGAATCGGCTTGATGTCCGGATCTTCCTGCTGTGCATGTAGTAAGCTGTCCTTCCACTCGTTGCTGAGGTGGTCTGCCCTGAGCATCCTCACGGATACCACTTCCTTACTCTCTTGCCTAGTACAATGTTTGCAATCTTCAGGACAAGGTCTTCTTGACAATGCATCTGCGTTGCCATGAGATTTCCCGCTGCGATGTTCGATCTCAAAGTCGTATTCCTGCAGTAGTTCAATCCACCTCGCAACTTGTCCTTCTGGGTTTTTAAACTGCAATAGCCATTTTAGTGCAGCATGGTCAGTTCGTAAGTGAAATTTTCGCCCCAGAAGATATTTGCTAAAATGCTGCAACGACTTTACCACAGCTAGCAATTCGCGTCTTGTGACACAGTAGTTCCTTTCCGGTTTTGACAACGACTTGCTGAAGTACGCTATCACGACCTCTTGGTCACCATTACGTTGAGACAACACACCGCCAAGTCCTATATCACTTGCGTCTGTGTCAACTATAAATTCTTTGCTTGCATCAGGGTATCCCAAAATAGGTGTTTTGCACAGACGGTCCTTGAGCTCCTGGAATGCGATGTTACAACTTTCATCCCAGCAGAAATGTCGCTTCTCCTCGGTTAGCTTATGCAGAGGTTTGGCTATATCTGCAAAGTTCTTCACAAAACGTCGGTAATAGGAGCACAAACCCAAAAATGCTCTAACCTGCGTCTTGTCTTTTGGAACCGGCCAATCCTTTACAGCTGCGATTTTCTCTGGATCCGTGCGGATACCTTCTTCCGACACTACATACCCCAAAAAGTTGACTTGCCGTTTGAATAGTGAACATTTCTTCGGACTCAACTTAAGGTTGGCACTCTTAATCTTCATGAGCACGCGTTCCAGGTTTTGAAGGTGTTCCTCAAACGTACGGCCCACGATGATGATGTCATCCAAGTAGACCAGACAGGCATCGCCAATTAGCCCGGTAAGTACAAGTTCCATCAGCCTTTCAAACGTTGCTGGAGCATTGCACAACCCAAACGGCATTACTTTAAATTGCCACAGACCCTTTCCCGTCGAGAACGCAGTTTTCTCCTTGTCCTTAGGGTCAATTTCAACTTGCCAGTAGCCACTTTTTAGGTCCAGCGTGCTAAACCACTTTACTCCTGTAAGCATGTCCAGCGTGTCGTCAATTCTCGGCAAGGGATAGCTATCCTTCTTAGTAACGTCGTTTAGACGGCGGTAGTCAACACAAAACCGCAAGCTACCATCCTTCTTCTTTACCAGTACCACGGGTGAACACCATGGACTAGATGAAGGTTCAATAACACCATCCCTCACCATTCCCTCAATCATGGTTTCCACTTCCTTTTCACGTGCTACCGGCAATCGTCTTGGCCGCTGACGGATAGGCAACTCTTCACCTGTGTTTATTTTGTGTTGAACTAAACCAGTCTTTCCTATGTCAGCATCGTTTGATGAGAATACATCGGCGTACTCGAGTAACAACTTCTTCGCCTTCACCAATTCGTTCGGGGACAGAACACTGCGACAGTCTTCCAAAAGTGTGGTCACTCTCGTTTCTGAATCCTTGCTGGGGGTCCTACTCGATATATATTGGCACTGACGTAACCAATCCACTTCCTCACAAGTACCAACCAGTGTACCTTTTTCTATAACCTGTTCCCGGTCGCAAAGGTTCAGCACACGTACTCCTGAGATGTCAGTGGTCCTGACCAAGGTTCGAGCTACTTTCCATGGAAGGTTATTGTTTACCCTTTCCACAAGTACACAACGGTGAGCTTGCCCAGCGTTTCGAGGAAGACTAACCGAAACAATCGTTTCCGATCTCGGCGGAAGAACAATCTTCTTGATGCTGTACACGTTCCCTGGTAACGCACCTTCCATAAAAAGTTCCTCCTGTCCACATTTCAAAACACCTTGCTTAACGTCGATCTCGCAACAATTATTCCTCATAAAGTCTAAGCCCAGGATGCAGTCGTCCATTATATCAGCCACGATGACATTATGCAGGTAGATCACGTTGCCTAGCTTTAACACCATCTCCTTCTCTCCACGGACGGGTATACGCTGACCGGTGGCTGTTACCAAATTAATGCGTTCTCGGTTGTATGCGGAGTCCCCAAGGAACTGACTTATAAGTTGGGAACTAACAACCGTACGAGAGGCTCCAGTGTCTATGGTCAGCTTACACGGCATTCCGTTGATCTCGCCCTTTATGATTAGACTATTCCCATCATGGGTTTGTGAGATCGAGATCCTTGGGGCTCTTTTAACATCAGCCAGCACCCGCCCCGCAGTTCTGGCTTTTACTCGTTTCCCTGCTGCTGCTGGGCGGCGCTGTTGGCCGCACTACCCTCCTGAGATCGTTCAATTTCCCTTTCTAGGGTTCGCTTAGGGCAGCTGGATCGAAGATGGCCCTTTTCCCCACAGCCATAGCACCTTGGGCTGTATCCTTTGTTGCGGTCGCGAACTGTAGCTGCTGCAACCTCCCTGACGCGATGGGAACGATGATCCTGCCGCACGGCTTCCACTTCCAGTGCATGGGCCAAGGCGTCCTTAAGCGTCTCGTGGTGCCCGAGCCTCACAGCAGCTCTGACTTCCAGGTCGCGGATGCCGTCGATGAATGTCTGCACCAGGTTCCCTTCAATGAGCGCAGGTACAGACCGGTATGCTTTTCGCACCAGCTTCTCCACTTCTAGAGCCCACTGCTGCAGGTTTTCGTTGATGCGCTGCACACGATCTTTAAGCTGCGCACGAAAGACGTGTTCCAGGTGAGCGTCGCCATATCTCGCCTCCAATGCCTCAAGGAGCTGCTCGTAGGTCACTTTCTTACCGAGAGCTTCCAACACAGTTAAGGCTTGGTCGCGCAGGCCTAAGGTGAGTGCAGTCATGGCCTGGCTTTTATTCCAGCCGTTTGCCTCCATGACGGCCTCGAACTGGATTTTGTAGGACGACCAGGAAGAGGTCCCGTCGAACGGCGGCACTTTGAATCCACGTAGCGAAGGTGTTGTAGCTACTACGGGAGCTGTTGTTCCATCCCCAAGTTTGAGGTCGTCCAGCGTTTTCTTCACGTCAGCCATTACGTTGTCAACCCGATTGTTTACTTGGTCGATTCGGGTTTCGGCCTCCGACAGGCGGTTGTCATGTTGAGCAACCTTATCCTTCACCTCCCGTATCTCTTTTCCGAAGATAGCGTGAAGGTCCTTCATGAGGAGCATCTGCTCTTCCTTATCGCGTTGGAGTTGCTCTTCTAAACGACGGGCCTGTTCCTCCTGTCGGCGGGCCTGTTCCTCCTGTCCGCCCCGCAGCTGCTCTTCCAATCGGCGGGCCTGCTCCTGCAGCATCACCATCAGAGCACCTAAGTCAGGTGCTGCAGATGTAGGAGCTACCGACGGGCCTTCAGCCGGTGGCTGGCCCTCCGACGTCTGCGGCGTTGCACCACCAAATCTTCTTTGGTCCGTCTCCTGCTGGCGTTGACTTCGGGTACGGACACCCTCCGTTTCCTCCTTAGGTAAAATCGGCATGATTTTATCCCACTTCTGACACCAATTGTTACGAGCTTGAGGTTCGTGACAATAAAAATTGCCGATAAAATTACCTAAATTAACACTTTAATTTACTTTACACAATTAAAGTTAAAACACTAATAATTTAAACACACTAATTCACTTAATTCCACTCCGAAGCTTCGCTTGTGTCGCCGAGTTCACTCTGCCTCTATCGCATCTTGCAGCGCCTATATATTTAAATTAGCAAAGAAATATCCAGAATGTTCAAGTAAACACGGGCAAAGTACCGAGCGTTCGAGTTTCGACTAGGCGCTGTCAGTTGAGTGATTTGTGATGTCATTTTCTCAATGCTCCCCTCGCTCTCGTTCCTGACACTAGATGGCGCTAGTTGACTTATTCATGCAACAATATGTATATCACCTATCTATTTGATAAATTATAATGGCAAAACGTCGGTCCTACCATAATTGTTGCGTAGATGGATGCTTAATGAGCAAACAAAATTATTCGGATTTATCATTTTTTAAGTGATCGAAGGATAATGAAAGGTGAATTTATTTCATTTTATTTGTTAGTTTGTTACATATATGGCAAAAAAATGAATTAAGTAATAAATTAGTAAAAGTACTTTATTTCAAAACTTGTTTGAAATTTACTTCACCATCCAAGTACCTACTAACATACACTTGTCTTTTGTAGTTAAAATATTTTAAGTTATAACAACACTAAAAACTGAAATTAAAACTTGTTTTACAAGGTCTTTAACTAAGTATACATAATACGATCACATTTTATTTAGGAATCGCATTTCGGGTATATTTGTTGTTTACACTACCTAGGTACTTATTTCTACCAAGCCAAGTATACGCAACGAATGGCCTTGTAGGTTGCAAACATTGGGAGTCACAGAACTCATATAGTAGCGAAAATATGGTCAGTCGATCATAGAATAGATACCTTACTTAAGTAACTTACTTTGGCAATGTTTTTTTTTTAATCTTTATTGACAGCCCTTTCTTACCACAGTGAGTCTGCCGTAACGTAGGAAGGGAAAAGGATGTAAAGTAATACGTGCGCGATTTATCTTTTTAAAAATAATTATGTAGGTTATTAAAACTTCGGTAAGCAGTCAAAATTAAAGGAGTGTATTTTCTGTATGTAGTACTATTATTTATTCTATGGTAGAAGCCTATAAGCGCTGATATTTTACAAAACATAAGAAACTTTTGCAAACAAAATTAAATAAATTAATTAATTCAAATCCATCGAAATTCAAATCATATCTACTTGAAATGATAAGGACAAAGATGCTTACTAAAAATGAGATGTTCCAAAATGTATGGAGCCTGGGCCAGGTCCTTGTACACCATACTCGAAAATAGGGAAACACATTTTAAACGGTTCTCAACTGTCTAATTATTTTATACTGGCTTTGTTTGGTGGTAAAGCACAGGAAATTACACTTGAAATTGCAACACACAACAAAAACCCGTCATGGCGGTAAGCTGTCATGTTTATTTCCCGTATTTTTGACAATGTTGTGACAACTGTCAGTTCTATTTTTGTGATCAATGGTCACTTGATTGTTTCCTGTCATTGTCTATAAGCTCAGAGTAACTAAATCAGTGAGACGCTATGTTGAAAGTCGATAAAAATTATTGATAAACATCAATTGTTTACCACGTCAGGATACATTTAAATAAATTATCTGTATTTTTCCCGAATTCTACAGATTTCTCTTATTTTTGAGGTAGCGTACATATACCTGGCATGGCATGGTAATAGTAAAGTAATAATATCACATATCGGTAGGCATATAATATATAAACAATTATTTATTATTACCGCAAACACAATTAAAACATTCACAAAGGTATTTTAACGACTTTATGGTACTTTATGACTTTTAGGTAAAAATGTTATTTGTGATGTTACTTGGGTGTTTACGTAACGTTTAAGAAGGGGGAGGAGAAGAGATATAAAAATGTTACAGCGCGTTATATGGAGGAAAGAGGGCCAAAAATCTTCAAAAATTGCGTTACGTAATACTTGAACGCCCCCAAATGCTGTAATGTCCAATGTATCTAATAAAACCATGGTGCTGATTAGTGCAATAGAATTATTGTTTCTTTATCTGGTATTTAATGAGCTAACAAAATAAAAAAATTGACTATGTTCACGATCAAATTTCGATATTTGGCAGACTAAAGTTGATATTTTGATAGACAAAGCCAAGCGTTACCGCTATGTAATATGTGCAACTTCTGACAAAGATTTCGGTGTCATATTTGGCAGACTAAAGTTGATATTTTGATAGACAACGCCAAGCGTTACCGCTATGTAATATGTGCAACTTCTGACAAAGATTTCGGTGTCATATTTGGCAGACTAAAGTTGATATTTTGATAGACAACGCCAAGCGTTACCGCTATGTAATATGTGCAACTTCTGACAAAGATTTCGGTGTCATATTTGGCAGACTAAAGTTGATATTTTGATAGACAACGCCAAGCGTTACCGCTATGTAATATGTGCAACTTCTGACAAAGATTTCGGTGTCATGTTTGACTTTGAAATTAAGACTTTTCAAGTAAAACTTAAAACCAAAAAACTTCAACGAACGAACACACAACAACAACGAACGAAATTCAACGTTATTTCGAGAAATAAATGTCTTTATTCCTACTAACTGGATTGAGACCAAGCTACATACAAATAAAAAACTATTACTTAAATATTTTAGTCAACAGACATACCTGATCAAACTGCCCTTCTGACACACCATCACGGAATACGTATATCTTTTTGGGTAATGTATTCAAACGCTTCCGAAACACTTGCATGTGCTCAACCATCATGTCTTCGAAATCCACAATTATTTCTTGCTGCAATAGCATTGTTTTTTAAAAATAATCGTTAAAAATATAAAAATACAAAACAATTGTCAAATGTTTATCAAGCTAGACAACATTGTTTTTATTTAAACATACCTTAGGAGACTGCACACATAGTTCAATGTTGTACACGAAGCACTTTTGATCAATTGAAGCTGTAACTGCTGCAATACTAGGTATACTTGACTGAAACGTATAAAAAAATACTTTAAATAAGTTAAACTAGTCATAAAATTATATTAACCAGATATGACAATATCAATTATAACAAATTAAAAAAGTGACTTTCAATAAGTATTTTTATAATCTACAAATAAAAAAGTTTCTATTTCTATTTCTAACATTAGCTCATTTGCAAATAATATTCATATATTATATACCTTCACCTTCCCCCTGGACTCAATCTGTCTTTTCAAAAATCAGAATAAAAATCCCCATGGTAATTTCTGAGATTTGCTCATTATCATTATCATCATCATTACAGCCCTTCACAAGTCCACTGCTGAACATAGACCTCCCCGAGCAACGCCACAAAGCACGGTCCTGAGCCACCTGCATCCATCGACTTCTTGCATGTCTTACCAGATTTGCTCGAACATACTTAAATACAGGCATGGCGGAGGTCTCTAATCTATAATTTGTATTATGATAAAAAAGCAGTAATAGGTAAGAAACATACCGAAGTATGCAGATCTGCCTGCCAAGTGTGGCAATTAGGGCAAATCTTATAATAGGAAAACCTACAACTGGAAAGGATCCAACAGTGAGCTTTCACAGATTAATGAAGAAGAAAAACACCAGGCAAAACGAACCCTACTAACCCTACACAAAACTCTGATGTTTGTAAACATTTACCACTATACAAAAAAAAATTATTATATGTATGGGAGCCGTGGTAGCTCAGATAGTTAACGCTCGCTGTAAATATAACAGAACGCGAGTAACCCGGGTTCGATCCCCGCCAATGAAATTGTTAATTGCAATTAAGTGCTGATTTTACCACGTGCTCGGCCGTGAAGGAAAACATTGTAAGGAAACGTGCATGTCTGATGAATAAGAAAAAAAATATTTCGAAGACATGTGAAGTTCGCCAACACGCATTGTGGCAGCGCGGCGGACACTTCCTTGCCCTAAAACCCTCTCAGAAATGAGGGGTGGCCTGTGTGCAGCAGTGGGACGTATATAGGCTGTAACTTTACTTTTTAACTTTTATAAATATGGCAAAATAAAAAATTTGATCATATTTTTTATTTCTTAAGCAGTGAAACATAATATGCCTTTTTAAACTAGAGTTAATACATGTTTGATTTTTGTAATTGGAATATTTTGTTAAGTGAATGTTGGTAAACAAACATCTGACCTGGTCTGGTGAGGGATGTGTGACATCAGCTCCAACTATCATTACCGGGCTGCCTTTGAGACACGCCGGCATACTGCGTCCGTCTAATGCTTGATTTAAGCCCATTAACTTGGCGTTCACCTGCAATAATTAGTATAAAAATTTTTGTGAAAGGCAATTTTGTCTAAATGCCAAGGCTCATCTGCCAACTGACAGACTACGTTTTGGATCGATAACGGACCTAAATTATACGTATATGTATATAATACAACAGGTATGTGTATAGGATCAAAAAGTTGCAAATTCGAACAAACGCTAGCCGTGGCAGTTCAGGGGGGTCCCCCACCCCGCTCTCCTCGAGCCACTCCGCTCGACGTAAATTTTACAGTAAGCGTGGTTACTGTAAAACATTTACTAATAACATTTACTGTGTACTGTGTGTACTTATTAGTGCCGATTTGTCACATGCTGCATGATAAAAGAAAACATTATATGGAAGACCGCTTTTCTGAGAAATTAATATTTCAAACATAGTGCCAACACGCACTGGAGCACGCGGCGAACTAATAGCTCCAAAACTCTCTTAGAAATACGAGGAAATCTATACATAGCAGCAAGACGTATAATAATGACTGTTACTGCCTAGTTGGCCTATAGGTCGCAAGCTCAAATGTTGATCACGTGTTCTTTGGTACTGTTACGAGCTTAGGTTTCGTGACAATAAAAACTGCCGATTGAATTACCAAAATTCACACTTTAATTGCCGAACACCAATTAAAACTAATAACACACTAATAATTAATCACACTGATCACTTTATTTCACTTTGTTTCGCTCCGAAGCTTCGCTTGTATCGCCAATTCAATACTCTCCCGGTCGCGGCTTTATATAGGCCTTTTCCACCGAACCATCTAGAATTTTCCACCAAATGCCGTTCCCGACCCACTAGATTTAGAAAGTTCGAGTGTGGAGATTTCTAGAAAGCTTAGTTCTTTCATTCGATACTAGATGGCGCTAATGGGAGAGTTCTAGAAAGATCTTGACACTCCTATTTCTGCTACTTGATACCATATGGCGCTAATAATCACCCGCCATATACCGCGCTTAATTATGTGGTTCAAATCCCTGGTCAGGGCAAACCAGTTGTTATTGGGTTTTACTGTCAAGAAATTCTCAGTAGCAGCCCGGAGTCAGTGCCTAAGAAAGCAGGAAAAGTGTTGCACGATGTGCGTTGCGAGCAGTAGGCAACCCGCCCCCTCACCCCTTTCGCCATCTACGGCGTGGCCAACTAGTTCCGCGCGCATTATAACAGAACTGTTATGAATGAAATCATTTTAATTTCAGTGTGAAAACATGCTTGTTCGAAATATACTAAATACTTCGAGGACACGACCGTCAACACAGATTTAGGCAGTGCTGCAGACTTCTCCCTGGCCCAAAACCTCTCGGAACCGACAGTAGGCCTATCTATACCCACCTGTATCTCATATAATATCAATAAAATCTTAAGAAACATCTTTAGAATACTTTAATCTCTGCATAAGGATTAAGACGGTCGTCGTGAATAATTCGTGACAACATTGTATTAAGACCGAGTGGCCTAGTAGTCAGATAATTCGGATACTAAGCCACTTGTTCTGGGTTCGAATCAAAGCATACATTTGTGTATTTACACAAATAATTAGTTTTTAATTTGGCGGTGTTGTAATTGTCTCCGTATCTCTAGCATTATTTCAAGGCTATCTTCAGTCTCATTGCCTGAGCGGTTATTTCGAGCATGGGTAAGTTAGGACGAGTGCCTTTGTGTTTGTACGTACACTTGTAGTAAGAAAGACTAATAAATTAAAATTTAAAGAAATAATGAAGTAAGCATTAACTTTGGCCTCTCAGTAAATTTACGAAGATTGTATGAACACAAAAACAAAACTAGTTTTAATAGAAAAACAACATACAGTCTGTAAACACTAGAAACAACCATAAGCTGGTACACCAAGTTACTAGACCCCACAGAGATACTTATTCACGCATTCGGTAGCGTATATACTTTCAAACGTAAGGTCTCAAAAAATATAAAATCTGTCTATCAACAAGTTTTATTTTTTATTAAACAAAGGCTGTATAAAAAGGTTTATTTTAATAGAAACGAACACATGAGTGGTAACTCTTGGAGGTGCTAAATATACAACTTATTTTATTGCAATAGTTTTAAAAAATGTTAAAAAAAACTTTTAAACCTTTAGCAGTATGTTTCGAACAGTTTGCTCATTCATTCTCCTAGAAGCAGTTTCTTCCTTAATACATTGAGTCAATATTCCAACTTCAAGTTCAGCCAACCGCTTTACCTGTAACAATGGGCTCATATTGTAGTATTTTAATTAATAAGATAGTATAAAGGCATACCATTCAAAACTGTAGTCTATAAAATATTGATAAACATGAATTGCTACATAAAAATAGTACATATATTAAAATAATTTAAGCAAAACTACCTACAACCTCAAAATGCATCTCCCACTATGAGGGGCACACTGAAATGATTTGGAATAGAATATTTCGGATTGAGTTACAATAAAACTTTTTTTAGAATTTGAATACTGGCCTCTTAGAATCTTAATGACTATCTTGGTTTAAACTTTAAAGTTGACACGTCGTTAACAGAAATGGAGCTCACGCGTGAACATTTCCGTGCCATAATTTATCATAATTTTCGTCGCGGCTTATCTCAAGATCAATGTCTCAGCGAACTTGTTTCGATTTATGATGTTGAAGCACCGAGTCAAACGACAATATACCGCTGGTATGCCGAGTTCCGAAGCAGTCGTGTGTCGCTCAGCACTGTTTCTTCTGCAGCTCGACCAAGAACAGTGGACACGCCTGAAAACATCGCAGCTGTGCGAACTATTATATTAGATGACCGTCATATGACATACGAGCAGATTCGGTCTGTTATCAGTATCGGAATGACCACAATTCAGTCGATATTACATAATGAGCTGTGTGTAAGAAAGCTAGTTTCCCGCTGGGTTCTCCACAATTTGTCCGAAGAGCAAAAGGCGGCTCGTGTAGTTTGGTGCCGGAATACTCTGCAACGCTTCAACGGAGGGAAGTCAAATGCCGTTTATAATATCGTCTCAGGTGACGAATCATGGATTTATTCATACGAACCTGAAAGAAAACATCAGTCAGCAGTTTGGGTCTTCGAAGACGAGGTCAAACCAACGAAAGTGGTTCGCTGCCGCAGCGTGTCAAAGAAAATGGTCGCTACGTTTGTCTCGAAAAAGGGGCATGTTGCTACAATTCCTTTACAGGAACGCAGAACGGTAACCGCCGAGTGGTATATCACGGTTTGTTTGCCAGAAATGATAGCCAAACTCCGTAAAAATAACCCGAAACGTCGCATGCATGCTGCGAGCTTCCATACGGCTCGGAAGACAAATGATTTTTTGAAGCAGAAAAACGTTGAGCTGATGAGCCATCCTCCGTACAGTCCAGACCTGAGCCCAAACTATTTCTTACATTCCCTAGAATGAAAGATTTATTACGCGGTCAACGGTTTGAAAAACCCGAAGCAGCTGTGGAAGCGTACAAATCAGCTATTTTGTCAACATCAACTTCAGACTGGAATTACTGTTTTAATGATTAGTTTGCACGAATGGAAAAGTGCATTAAGTTGAATGGAGAATACTTTGAAAATCAATAAAATACAATTTAGCTATACTGTGCATGTGGTTTTTTTATTCCCGATCATTTCAGTGTGCCCCTCGTAAATCTATATTCATTTGTCTGTTTCCATTAAGCAAGTTAAAAATAAAGATGTATGTTCACTAATAATAACAAATACATTGATTTTTAACTATTTCATGTATCGTCCCTGTCTTCATTAATATATAATACAATATAAAATACAAAAGAGCACATCTATCCTCGGTAAAGAATCAAAGTGCAGATGAATTATCTCCCATGAGGACAAAGATGAAATGCTTCGTTATCAGTGAAACTGGTTACCTGGTTCCCGTTACTTAATACAAAACACAGCAATGTTGCGTATGGTGAGTAACGTTATGTACATTTTTTATGCTAACATTATGTTTCATGCTATTATTTTCATACGTAGGAATTTTGCGTGAACGTGATGCTTCCCCGGTCAAGACTACTAATTTGTGAAGCAGTCAAAACGCAGCTTAAAATAAAATTAATATAAGAATTGAAAAAAAAACTTACTCTATGATAATAATCGCGACCCCTTCTTGAGACTATAATGAATAGGAAATTGATATCCCGTTCTAACGCCGTAAACAAAATGTTCGTAAGCTCGTTTATCCGGACATTAAAGTGTGTACATTTTGGTGGCGCGACTCTCATTCCCATTTGATTACCGACACGCATAATCTGAAATTAAATGAATCATGTCATGACACAAACAAATATGATATAATAATTACAGTAAGAAGGTAACCCGAGTTCAATCCTGCTAGCAACAATAAAATAGCAATAATATGTGCTCAGCGGTGAAAGAAAACATTGTGAGGAATCCAAGACAAACATTTCGCTGACATGTGACGTCCTACAACACACTGCGCTAAGGGCCAAACTACTCCAAAGCGCAGCTTTGACCATATTCAATGTGGATGTATTCCGCCGATAAAGTCCACACCACACGTTCACCACTCATCGGGGTTGCTAAAAGATTATACAAGGTGTAAGTGTAAACACCGTTGTCACTAAAACCATAGGTAGTTGGTTTAATATAAAAATATTTATCCCAAGTTAAAAAAACGCAATTTTCTTTTATAAAATTTAAAAAGTTTCAGTCCGACACCGTCCGTAAATTCACGGATACCCTATGCGCCTAAGTGACGTAATCACTGCAAATATTACCGCTCACGCTAGCTACCTACACAACATTCCAATAAAAACGCAATAGGTACACATAACCTGTGATGTAACTTTTCATACTTTCATCCTGTCTTAGGACAGGCAAAAATTGAGGAATTAAGGAAAAATTGAGATCTTACTAAAAAAAATGTTATTTTTAATTGAATTTACGTTCTATAAGTGAATCAAAACCACTGGTTTCAAGGATAACGGTGTTTAAACTAACAACCTGTATTTTTTAATTTACATAATCAACCCTAGTAAAAGTAATCAGAACAAAAAAAAAGACGAATAGGTAAACCCAGGGAAAAAAAAAAGGCGAAAAAAAAAATATATCAGAACAATATTTATGCACATTTATTTAACTTAAAAAAAATTATATTAATTCAATAGCAAGACTATAGTTTGCCAAAATTCGTCATTCACTAATTTGAAATTGAAAACTCCCGCTTTGTATTCAGTCTTTAGTATAATCACGTAAAAAGACGGCACACACTTTAATGTTTATGAATTTCGTTGTCGACCCGCCCACTACCACATGTCATCCCGTCGTTGTCGAAAGAGACGACGGTGGAAAGCCGAAACATGAGATTGCACACAACCGTCTTCCTGATGACATTTCAATAATAATAATAAATTAGCCGGTTGCCTACCTAAATTGGTTCAAGCATGGCAAATTTGCCAAATATCTGCCCTATAAAGCAATCTATGGAGAATCCCAATAATGGGTAGTGAACTTTAATGGGCTGTGATACGAGGGCGGCACTGAAAATTTCGAAATCAAGGAAGTGACACAACATTACTATTTAAAAATGTATTTATTGCTTTTCGAAGTATTCTCCGCGAAATTTGACACATTTATCCATACGACGGAACCAATAATTGAAGCAACCATTCCATTCGGAAGTTGGGGTCTCCAAAATGGCCGTTTTGTAGGCGTCCACAGCTTCTTCAGGTGATGAAAATCTCTGTCCACGCAATTTATTCTTTATTTTAGGGAAAGTATAGAAATCATTAGGGCTTAGGTCGGGGCTGTACGGCGGAATGGTCTAATAATTCTATGTTTTCTTGCTCTAAAAACTCTTTTGTTCTGTGTTCGGTGTGAGAACTCGCATTGTCGTGATGGAGGATGATGCGGAGGTTGCAGTTCTCTTTACGGAGTTGTGGCAAACAAATGCTAGCATACCATTCTGCATTAACTGTTCTTTGTCCCTCAAGAGGAATAGTCGTAACATTGCCGGTTTTGGAGACAAACGTGGCCACCATTTTTTTTTGCAACACTTCGTGAACGAACAATTTCTGTTGGCTTCAACTCATTTTCGAACACCCAAACTCGTGACTCGGTTTTTTGTTTCGGGTTCGTACGCGTATATCCAGGATTCGTCACCTGATACGATGTTGTATACAGCATTTGAGGATCCTGCGTGGAATCTTTCGCGAGTTCTGACGCACCAAGTAACGCGAGCCGGTTTTTGCTCTTCACAGAGCGAATGCGGTATCCATCGGGAAAACAACTTTTTTACACCTAATTGTTCATGCAACATTATTTGTATTTGACTCATGCCAATGTCTAAAGTTGCCTGAATTTGGCGGTATGTCACATGTCGATCTTCCTCAATCAGCTTACGCACAGCATCAACGTTTTCTTGGGTGACTGCAGTTTTTGGACGACCTTGACGGGGATCATCATTGAGCTTGACACGTCCACGTTGAAATTCAGCAAACCAGCTATAAATTGTGGTTTTGGATGGGGCTTCATCACCAAATGCAGAAATCATCCGGTCAACAAACTGTTTTTGTGTTAAATCACTTCGAAAGTATAATAAATCATCGCTCTTGAATTTTCTCGAGTCAATCCATTGAGCTATTATGTACTACGTACTAGAGGACACTGCATTCAGCTACTCTGTTCCACTCAACTGCGGTGCATGCACCGCACTTTAATCAGTCACTCGCTAGGCGCTTGTAGAGTTGTCAAGTGTTGTGTTGATTTAAAAAAAAATCTCTTGATAAAAATATACCGTCTTGTGTACTTAAATATTGCACAAATAATTCAAGAAATGTCAGTAAAAACCAAGGAATTACTTTTCATCGGTTAATAACACACTTAATCAATAAAAAAGTATTATAAATTAATAATAAAACAAATTATTCCTAAGACGCCATCTCGTATCATGGAATATAGATTATGAAATTAATACGTTCAGATGCGACATTTCTGTGGGTACTTAAGTATAGAACGAATATATTATTATACACATTTTTTTTGTAGAAACATATATAAGTTATTATAATTAGGCTAAATTTTTCATGTTTAAATCTGCTTATTATTCTTTTATTTTATTTTTAGGTTTCCACATGAAAGTCAAAGTGGAATAAATTCGTCCATTTTTGACTCTCGCGTGCCCAGCATTTATGAACGATTATTTACAGCATTTATGATTCTAATTTAAATAAATATATTTGTAATTTAAATTTTATGTTAATAAGTTTTGTTAAACATACATTTATAACTTTTTTTATATTTGACATAGATACCTTTTAAAATATTCAGATAAAAATATCATGAAAATGTAATTGTGATATAATATTATGTAATATTATATTAAATAAACAAATATAATATACAAAATAAATGACAAAATTTAAATATTGTTCTCGATATAATTTACCTATTTAAGAATACAATCTACTATTACCTACGGATCATTCTACCTATGTTTATTCTATGATAAAAAAGCCAAATGTGCGAACACAGAGTAGCGCACATTTTTTGTTTGAGATAGCTGTTCTAGTACGTAAGTACATATTACTTCAATGAGTCAATCCCATTTTCTTAATGACTAAACAAGTTTGACAAAACCTTATGACAAGACCGAGAATCTTTTTTTAAATAAATAAATGGTATTCGATTTTCAAAACCAAGGAGTTTTCAATTAAAAATATTTTAATATGACAGGAATAGTGGAAATATTCCATTCCCGATACTTTTAGTGCAGCCTATGTAAATGGACGAATAAATGAATTTATATCTTATTTACATTAAAGTTATGATTTTTATCTTATTTTCATTAATTATAAAAGAATTTTAAACTGATGTAGGCTTTAGGAGTTTAGATTTTGTTACAATACAATATAAGTACTATTACGCGCCTTGACTTACCTTACCGACATAATATGTGTTTGTTTATCTTAAAGAAAAGATGATTTGATTAAAATGCTTTTACTGATTTTATCGCGTTTGATTTATTTTATTTTTAATATTCGACTTTTCGGGTGTTTTCCAGCACCCATAATCACGGGGACTGAGGTCCCTGACGTTCCCATGTCAGTGTTATTCCGGAGCACCTTCAGCTTTTTAATTATTATTTATGGTCCGATCTACGCAGAATGAACTTACTGTATCTTGAAATCTTGCTGTGGTATGCTTGGGTTTAGTTTTAATTTTATTAATTAAAGGGTCACAAGCAGGTGGTAGTACCCAGCCTCCTTCTCTATTGAAATAAGGATATTTTTAATATCAAAAGCCTCGTGTATCATCCTTGGTAGGAATCGATGATCCACTTCGAACCATTATTTTAACAATACTACAAGAACAAAATCCGCCAGCGGTCAAGTTCCAGCTATAACTCCCATGAAAACTAGTAAGTTAATATGTAACTTAAAAATGTCATTCAACTTTTTTAAAGACGATACAACATGTGGGTTTTATTTTTCAAATTTAATAATAAATGAATTTGCTACTTCTCTATAGCTAGCCATTGTAATTTATTGATAACATACGTCAACGTTATGTTCGTCTTCATATAAATCACGAACAAAACATAAGGACCAGTTGTTTGTTCTTGGATAGTCAAACAAAAAAAAATGATAACCTTTGTCCATTCAAAAGATAATAAAGGTGCGATCGGGTGTAACAATCGAAGATAATATTATTTCTGGTGAATATATGATCAGGTATGAATATATGCGTTCATGTTTTTATGATGATACGCATACGCGCCAAAAGGGTTTGTTATCACAAAATTACTTACTTTTAAGTTAATAAAGGCACTATATTTACTTGATACAAATTAGTTACATTTACTTAAGTGTTTGTATTTCATAACAAACTTAAGTGCTTGTATTTCATAACAAATTAACAGCTTACAATTTTTCTACAATGTTCTCACCATTTCAATAATGCCATCGAAGTTAGATTGTCTAGGATCAGCTTCAATGGCTATAAAGCCCCATGACCCAAGAACCTCTGGTTGCAAGACAGTATTGGATCGCCAGACACCCCCCCTGAAAACAATGAACAAAATAATAACAAACAGCATTATTAAATCGAACAAATTATATAGTTACCATATTACATTTTTCAATAAATATCCATTCTAAACAAAATATTTCCAACTTAATCTTAATTAATTGAATTGAATCTAAACACGGAAATAACGAGATATATGTCGCAGGCATTTTGTGTGATTGCGCCGTTTACATACGGCGTCGTCAGTTTAGAAACGCTCGCTGTTATGTAATATGCCGAAGGCAAAATGTAAATTGTCGTTTCATAATATATTATGCCTAAACATTTGCTTGACGATTCAAACGCCATCTACATAATGCCGCGGCAAATTGAAGAATTTAGTTCTGTTTCTTACCACGAGCGTCGCTGTTGACCAAAACAAACAAAATGGCGTCAAGTAATGGTTTTCTGACACAAAAAGTTATTGAAAATAGTGCAAATACTACGTGTTCAAAAGACTTGCCACAAAATAATTGTGATTTTAAAGACATATACTACAGTGAGTTAAAAAAGTTTTACGATCTTCAAGCGCGAGCAATAAAAAACCGTGTACAATTGAGAAGATTTTTAAGCTATTGCATAGCTTCTATCGCGGACCTTGAGCGCGGGGACCGAATCCAGAAATTCCGTAACGAAAAAAAACCTCACGCTCCCCAATCCGACGGGCACGGAGGTGTGGCGTTGAAAGCCGTGCATCATCTAACGTCGTTTCAGTTCGGCAGACTTCGGCACTCGGCAGACTGCGGCACGGTGTTTGTGTGCGTGCGACTAGACGTATGCGTGTACACTAGCTGCTAACTCAATGATAAAAATTCCTGAATGACTTACATGTATTGTAAGATATTAAAAATATTTTAAACAATATTAACTTCTCATTTATTCAATAAGAGAAAAAAAATTGTTTTCTTATCGGTCACCACGCTCAAAAAGTGTAACTTGATTTAATATCAAAGACTTAACTGCATGAATAAAATAAATAAATAATTATAATTGCATAAGTTGATAAAAAATGCTATGCAATAGCTTTACCGCGGCAGTCACCGAGTGCCACACGTATTTTTTAAGGTTATCCGGCACCTAAAAAATGCTAAGGTGTCCATAGAATCTGGTTCTCGGAGGACGCCTGCCCAGTATAATTGGTCAAAAAAATATGAGGTAATGAGTATTAGTGATGTGGACTATCTAATTCTAAAAAAAAATAGCCCTGAAAGTCCGACAGTTCGTGTAATTTCGTTAGAAGAAATGACAAAAAGAGACACAAAGCAATGGACTTATATTTGAGAAAACAATCGTCTCATTGTGTCCTGTCTGTGAATCCAAACGTAACTTACCAAAGAAAGGCATCGTATTCAAACCAATTATATCTCGAGATTTTAATGAGAGGGGTCAAGTCGATCTGATTGATCTACAGTCAGCGCCAGATGGTGAGTTTAAATGGCTTCTTAACTACCAGGATCATAGCACTAAGTTTCTTCATCTTAGACCACTTAGTACAAAAAAGCAAGTGAAGTTGCCACCGAATTGCTTAAAATATTTTTAGAATTTGGAGCACCATATATACTGCAAAGCGATAACGGCAAAGAATTCACTGCTAACATAATTGAAGAAATGGTTAAAATATGGCCTGAATGTAAAATAATACATGGTACTCCGCGACACCCGCAGACCCAGGGTAGTATTGAGCGGAGTAACCAATATGTTGAAAACATGCTTCGTGCTTGGATGCGGGATAATAATTCGACAAAATGGGCAATGGGCTGCTTTTTCGTGCAGTATAGTAAAAATACATCTTTCCATAGAATTATAGGAAGATCGCCATTTCGTGCTCTTTTTGGTTGCGAACGAAAATCTAGTTTACGAAGTTCAAGCATTCCTCACATATCACAACTGAAGAACACTTACATGAAGTTTGTGATGGAAGACAAACAGATGAGACTCAAGACTATTCTGCACAAGTCGCAAACAGTTAAGTTATCATATATTCTAATGAATTAATTACTTTGCCTGTGCTAATTAATGCCTCTAACAATATCACTAATATCAGTACTTCCATTCAACATCCAAGTGAATCATCAAACGCCGATAGCAACGTCGTTCTACCAAATTCTGCTGTGATGCATGGTTCAAATGAGATTACTACCCTTGAAAATGACTTGAGATGCGTCGTATGTAAAGACGGGACTAGTGGTGCCCATCAATGTTGTTCTTGTCTTAACCCATTCTCTGTCGCTGTACTCAAACGAGTACAGTTGCTTAAAAATTAATAGACTAAATCTGTGAGGGTTTGTTATTTTTTATTTTAATAAATTAAATAGAGGGTAGACGCATAATTTTTTGAGTTGTGCAAATTGAGGGTATTTCTAAAATATGTGTCATTTGGAGTAACCCGATTTCATGTTATTGGACTAGCGAGCAAGTGAGTATTATTTTTATTATATTTTATTATTATTATTTGTGTAAATGTTGTTTTTAGTAATAATTGTGATAAGATACAGTGAATTCTATAATGTGAGTTGCAAATTTGAAACAATTATTGTTTATTACGAACTATAGATGAAGATTTTTAGTGATGTACTCAGTTGAGTACACTGGTCACTTCAATAAATAAAAAATACAACTTTGTTTCAGTTTATCAACAATGAGTCGCAAGATTTTTTCCGGTACAAATAGCTTTATAGGACTTGAGGAAGCAATTGAAGCAGTCACAGCAGATAGTGATGATGACCGGGAATACGATTTGGCGATAATACCACCTGATCCCAGTGTCGTAACTGATGAAAAGGAAGGGTCTTATCAAGATATGGTGACGTATACTTTGCCACGAGATGTGCCCGGAAATATTGAGGTTATGTGCTTGATGAAGGTACTTTGTCGAGCGACTATGATTCCAGTGACGAAGAACCATTGACCGCAAAACGAGTTCGTTGGCAGGCTAATATTCAGCAGCGGCGGAAAACTCCAGCCTGGAGAAAATGTTCACCATTCTATACTTTTGGCCATCAGCATACGTCTGTGGTGCAAGATAAACAGAATGCTATAAAGGAACAGCTAAAAGACCAAAATTCTGTACAGATTTTTGAAATAATTCTGGATGAAGAAGGATTACAGCTCATGTTATCTAATAGTATTTTGTACGCTAATCAAAACAATAGACACTCTTTTCAACTTGATTTACCAGACCTAAAAAAATTCATTGGTATTTTGATTTTGTCGGGATATCACAAATTGCCTCGGGAAGCATTATATTGGTCTCTGGATGAGGACGTCGGAGTTGCGCTAGTTTCAAGAGCTATGTCGAGGAATAAATTTCGTGAAATAAAAAGATATCTTCATCTTGTGAATAACGATGAAGCATCAAATTCCAGAGATAAAATATTCAAAATTAGATCCCTAGCTGACATACTGATGTCCAAATTCAATCAATGGGGCGTATTTCATGAAAATATTTCAATTGACGAGTCGATGGTCAAATATTACGGACACCACCCCAGTAAGCAATATATACGAGGCAAACCAGTGCGTTTTGCGTGCTGCAAGTTCCACTGGGTACTGCTACACATTTGATTTTTACTGTGGAAAATCACTTGATACTTCTGATGAACCTTTGGGAACCAGAGTTGTGAAGTCTCTGTTGTCAAAATTAGATACCGACCCAAAAAATCATAAAGTATTTTGACAACTTTTTAACAAACTGTAATCTTTTGATTGATTTGCGCAATCTGGGTTACTGCGCTACTGGAACAGTTCGTGAGAATCGCACTAAAAAGTGCCCATTGACAGCCACTAAGGAGATGAAGAAGAAAGAGAGAGCGGCTTTTGATTACAGATTCGATAAAAATAATGAACTGTTGTTAGTCAGATGGAAAGACAATAGTGTCTGCACGATGGCTACTAACTATGATTACTTTGAACCAATGGGCACGGTAAAAAGATGGTGCCCAGAAATGAGAGGAAACCAGATTCCGCTTTTATTTGAAAACTACAATAAAGGTATGGGTGGAGTCGATGAGCTTGATCAGTCCATATCATTGTACAGGATCGGGATTCATGGTAAAAAGTGGTGGTGGGTTTTATTTACATACTTGTTGGACATGACCGTTTCAAACGCTTGGCGTTTACATGTTATGAGCAAGGATGACCCTATGGATCAACTCTTGTTTCGACGTAGTCTTGCCAGATACTATTTGCGACAAGAAACTCTCAAAAGAGCCAGACCATCTTCTTCTATGGTCGAAGGGCTGCCTCAAGATGGTTCAGGCCACTACCCAAGGAAGCTTGAAAATCAATTACGGTGCGTCATTTGCCATGCAAGGGTCCGATGGGAATGCAAGAAGTGTTTGAAAACACTCTGCGTTGAAAAGTCATGCTTCGAAAAATTTCACACATAAGTGGCCGCTGTACTCAAACAAGTATCTCATGTACATATATCCACCCCTGTAAAAGTATAAAAAAAATATTAAAAAAAATTTTTTTTCATTTTATGTATTCCAATCCTGCCTAGATTAACAAAATAAACATTTTTCGTTAAAAACGTTTTTTATTTGATTTTGGCCACTAATGGGTTAAACCAGTTCACACTATTTGCGGGGAAGGAATTGGTAACGAAGGTTACGGCGCAAGTGTTTTGTGTAAACGAGAGCAGGACATACAATTAGAGAGAAATAAATCACATCAAGGCGTAAAACGAGAGGCGGAAAAAATGATTAATGTTACGGCTAAAAAACTCCCAGCTCTAGATATTGGAGATAGCGTTTTTTTCAACGTCCCAAAAATTGATAGAGGACCCATAGATGCTAAAAATGTATCGGGAAAAGTATTGGATATGAGACACGGCGTTTACCAAATTGGCACAAATAATGGGATTATCAATAACTGGTTTAACCGACAAGAATTTAAAAAAACATCATCGAAGAAATTCTTTATAATATGATATCATTAAGAGAAGCTGTTTCTAAAGAATCTTTATTTGGCGGACAAGGCTTTAGCAAATGCTCATGCAAGCCGGCTAAAAGACAGTGCCAAAATAACCGATGTGCACGTTTTAAAAAGAATTTTCTTTGTTGGGTCCAAATGTAACTCAAGTTTGACATGCGCAAATAAATAATTTTTGATTTCTCAATTACTAAAAACAGTCTATTATTATTATTCTTGATTTATTTTTATAGTATTTTTCTGAATATTTTTTTCTTTGAATAGTTTTGTATTTGATTGTGTACCTAGGGGTATTGGGTAATATTAAGAAATTTCGTTGAAATATGGATTTCAACACCTATAGTATTTTTTTTGAATATTTTTTTCTTTGAATATTTTTGTATTTGATTGTGTACCTATGGGTATTGAGTAATATTAAGAAATTTCGTTGAAATACGGATTTCAACATCTATACCGAACTAAGCAGAACATAAAAAATTATAACTAGGTTGATTTAAAATTAGTGCGAAAATGTATATTTTTTAAATATTATAATTAAGAAGTTTAATTATTGTTTATATAAATGTCGTTTTTGTAACTTTAATATTTTAACTAAGTACTTTATGAGAACCATAGCGCATAATGACAATTGCTGAAATAAAGTATGATGATTTGTCCAAAGACACATATACATAACAGCGAGCGTTTCTAAACTGACGACGCCGTATGTAAACGGCGGAATCATATAAAATGCCTGCGACATATACATTAAAAAAAATCACGAATGTTGTGTCGTCAGCGACTTGAACTTTGAACTGCGGGTCCTTAGTCACCAATTATATTCCGATAACTAGACTGTTGTGCGGTCGTCACATATATCAAATATATAAACGCTCAACAAACACACGTGCGCAAACACACGTGCGCAAGCACATACAAACACACGCCCGAAAACAAACAACGCGTGCGTTATTGTTTTCGGGCGTGTTTGCATTTTTGCGTGTGTAACGCAAACATGCATTCACACACACGTACACAAACGTTAAACATTAAAATAATACCTGGGATCAATTGATCTTCCTTGCCCAACCATCAATTTTGGCGGCTGCAATACCTTAGCCTCAACTTGTAAAAATTTTTCAGAGATAGATAAACCAAATTCCTTGAAAAGTGGACTCCGGGAGTAGTTCATCTACAATTTAAAAAAAAACTGTTAACGATTGAACATGTAAGCTGCTTAATCTATAAGTTAAAAGCAAAAAATTAAAGAATTTAAAATGAAACGTAAATTAAGAAGTAGTAAAAACCTAGTGGCGTTCTGCGTTTTGGGTGAAGAAAAAGATTGCCGTGTACCTCTAGTTCCCTTAGGCGGCAAATCGTTTTGCGGACATTTAATAAAAATAGATGAGTTTGTTTTGGGTTGCGTATTTAGCAGGGATGGGAGATATGATAAGGATATAGAACGACGAGTGAACGCAGGAAATGGAGTGAATGGGGCCCTACACTCTATTGTGAAGAGTCAAAATATGTCAAAAAAGGCACGTATGGCAATTCACAATGCTGTGTTGCACCCTACTTTAACGAATGGTAGTGAAAGTTGGGTGTGGCAGAAGAAGCACGAGAGTAGAATAAATGCAGTAGAAATGCTGTCGTTAAGGAGGATGTTAGGGCTGAATCTGAATGACAGGGCGAGAAATTGTGTGATAAGAGAAGAGTGTGGTTTGCAAGATGATGTTGTGACCAGGATTAAGAAAGGAATGCTTCGGTGGTTTGGTCATGTGGAAAGAATGAATGAGGAAAGAGTGACAAAGAAAATTTATGTTGCAGAAGTGAATGGCAGAGTCGGAAAGGGACGTCCTAGGCGATAATTTATCGACCAAATTAGCGATTTATTAAAAACGGGCCAAATTAGGAGTACCCTTAACCGACGAGTATGTATGCGTAGATATATGGACGTAAAGGAGGCGAGAGAGGTGTGTCAGGATCGTGCCAAATGGAAGTCCGTAGTCTCTGCCTACCCCTCTGTGTGACAGGCGTGAGTGTTTATGTTTTTAATAATAATACCACAAAAAATAATTTTAAAGTTCTCTGACATGCTTCTTACACGGCTTTTCTGTTTACTGCCGCCTAAGTGAGTGAAAAATAAGTCCATTTAATTGATTATAATAATTTTAGGGTCGATGGCAACGTTGTTACAATAACGTTTAGGACGAGCACCTAACCCATGACCTACCACTGCTCTTCTACTAGCTTAATTTATACTTACAACAAAGATAATGAAGAGTCAGAAACCAACAACCTTAACAAGATGGTAAGATTACAAAATATTTTTTGTACACTCACATCCTTTATAACATCTTCGATCTTCTGCTTACGTATGTTTGGTGGAGTAGCTGCTTCACGAACCATTTTCGACAACTGCATTTCATTGAGCTGCTTTCTCAGTGCCTGTTATATTTTATTGCATAATGTAAAACATAAGTTGAAATAAAACAAAAAATTGGATAAAAAAATAATAATTTTCATTTAAGAAATTACCTGTCCAGGTACGACTTCCAGTAACTCCATTGGGAAATAAATATTTTTATTCTTCGGGCCCACCCACAAACAATTGAGGTTAGGATATTGAAGTCTGTAACAATATGATATAATGAAACCTCATACCACTGTATCTATGTTGTATAAAAACTTGTGAATGTTTTAAAAGGGAGTATTACAAAAAAAAACTCGAAATTACAAGGTTTCCTCGGTGAAATATATGTTTTTCCGTTCGTTTCTTGAAATAACAATTTAAAATAGTTTATTTTCTCTGCTACAATAAGCTTAAGGCAAATTTTAGGCTAAAACTCTGAGAGACATGATTTGGGAGCTCTAATTTGTAGATTCTATTGAATATAGACCATCAAAAAAATATTTTTATTTCACAAATATCCTATACTAATACATTTTCGTTATATGCCAAAAATCGACATAATTCAATTATCTACCGAAAAAGCTTCGATACAAGCACCAATATATCCGAAGTTCTACGTAATTTTGACGTAAAATTTATACCAAAATAATCATCAACATTTGCTTAAACTATACTATGAGTTTTACTTCTTAAATCGTTACTATTATTTTTTAATTAATAAAAGTACCATATATTTCACTGCGTTGGCCATCTGAATTCACTACCGCGCCAGCGGCTCTCGAGGTCGACCTGTGTCAATTTATTTCGCGCGTTCCGTCTTGTATCGACATTATCGCATGGTCAACTACGCCCGCAATTTTTAATCGTTGGAAGTATTTACTTTCGTACAGTATATTTCAATGAGTATAAAGTTCGCACATTATTATAATACCAGATAGTTAACTCATTATAGTTATTTTGATTGTAGCTGAGCTTTCATACCAGTCGGAATGGAGGAAAATAAATACAAGTATCAATGTGTCACTAAACCTAAAAAAGAAATATCCTATCTCTGGAGAAAAAATAATGGAGAATAAAAATGTCTGCATGCTTGCCATATGGACTGGCCCAGATTATGCAGTAAAAGTACTAAAAATCTACAAAGACGACAATTTTGGATTTTGAATATGTTACTCAAATTACAAGCGTTTTATAAAAAGTGTGTACTGCCTGAAATTATTAACTCGAGATAAGCTCGGTCAATGCCGTTGCGGCAAATATTTTTATATTAAAAAATATGGTAATGGCCTGTAAGTACCGATTAAAAAAATATTAGTTACAGTTGGTTATTTTATTTAATAAATTAGATTACAACCGTACTATTTATTTATTTATACCACTATGCTACCGTTGATAGATATAATCGATTATTAACCAACATCGGTTAACAATCGATTACTGTGAAACAATTAAAATATTTATGTGTACTTATTGCAACACTAAGGTTTTGTTGTTAGGGTAATATCCTGAGTTTTTTCTGTCGTCAATTTCGTTGACTCAGGCTTTGCTTAGCGCGCACTCAGCACGACTTCGAAGTTAGTTCTATAAATACCGACATTGTCTTAGCTCGAAAGTAGAGTCTGAGCAAACTCAGAGTACGGTTTATAGATCAGCCTCAGACTGGACATACATCATTTTCCTTTTATATACAAAAATAACACACATTATTACAGTTTCTGGCAACCTTATCGAAGGTTTTGTGTTTCAAGTAGCCCAATTTTTTAAGTTTTAAAACATCAAAAGATGATAAATATTAGTAAAAGTTTTGATGAAAAAGCTATTGTATGTAATTTTACATCACAAGTAGACATTATTGTATTTTTTAGTCTAGTGTTCTAGTGGCATTTTATATTGGAAAAATAACATCGGAAATATAGCACAGCTAACGATAAGTTTTTTAATTAACTAACCTATATTTCTTTTCTTTAAGGTAATATTCAGCTACAGACATTTTCTGTTGCCGACCATCTGGATGCGTCATAGTAAAGTATAGTTTAATGGGGGGATCCACTACGCCGTTACAAATGAATTCACGTTTTTGACCTCTGGTCGACGTGTCGCCACCAATTACTGCATTCACCTGTAACAAATATTGTCACAATATTGGAATAGCATGGGAGCTAATAACAATTTCAAATTAAAGCTGCGGTTAATAAAAAAATTTATGGTTTATATTTACCCTTAAACCTTTGACGAAATTATGAAAATTTTCGACTGATCTTTGTTCCCTCCGTTGTTGTTCCAAAGGTTGTGTTGGATCCAAACGAAAATCTCTAGTCAAGGCATCTATCATACTTTGCTTTTTCGGGAATCCTTTGTGGGCCACTGTTAAATAAAAAAAAATATATTTGAATATGATGTCGTAGTTTAAGTTTAATTGTAACATTAAACATACACAAAACATCATTTCCTAATATACTTTATAACAACAGAAAATACAAAAAAAGAAGTTTTAAAAGAGAAATAACTCGACCGTTTAGAATCAGTTACTTAAACGCAAAAATATAAAAATACGTGGCGCAAAACAAAATCGACAAATTAAATTGCCGAAATTTTAAAAATGTTATTCAAATTCAAATGTTTTGTATTCAAATACGTTTTATTAGTTGAGGCAACTGTTTTAAATATAGTGGAAAGATTAAAAAAACTTGTTCTTAAAGATGCTCGTCTGAAGAAAAACAGCGCAGAAATGATCTTAGTATCATCTACAACCGTGCCAAGAATATTCACACCGCTTCAAAAACAGCAGTCAAGTGTTCGCAAGAGTTTCAAGATCTGTGTAGTGAGAAGAGGGACGAAATTATGACCGAAATTGTGACAGGGGATGAAACTTCGGTTCGCCACTATTAACCTGAGTCAAAGCAGAAGTTCATAGTGGCATAAAAAGGGCGTAGTATGCCCTAAGAAGGTCAAGGTTTCACAAACGGCTAGAAAGATTATGGCTAGTTTTTTGGGATTCAAAGGGAAATTTATAGATTTATTATAAAGGTATCATTATCACGGAACAGTATTACGCTCCACTACTAGAGAAACTAAAACATGCGATTAAAGAATAAACATGTGATATGTTTTAACAAGAATTTTGAAAATATTAAGAGATTTAGCACGATTAATGAGGAGAAGTAAGAAATTGAGAAGAGTGAATGAATTGAAAGAAGTAAATAAACTAACGACCAGCAGTGACAGTAAAGGCTTTCTTAAAAAGAACAGTTCACTGAAGTTTATTTCAAGAGAGAGAAAGATTCACAATTTCTCATTACACAAGACGTTTCCCACATCATTCTAGAAGATTTATAATAAAAGTGTTTAAGAGCTGCTATGAAGATAAAATATTCAACGAAATATCAACATTTTACAGAGTAGTTCTGTAGTAAGAAATATATATATGTGTACTTACCGTCTATGTTGACAAATGCTGTGGATGTAAATATAGCAGACTGAAACAATCCGGTCCACATTTCTAAACCATCACCCAAATCTATTGGGCGAGCCGGACGTTTGAAAAATTGTTTTCCAGCCTTTATTGGAAAATAAAATTTAAATTAATATATGTATACAACTTAATAAATTTTCCTATGGAAATTTACAAAAATATTTGTAAACATAAAATGATAATACGGTCGTTTATTTTGAAAAGAACTGTAAAAAAAATATACCTTTACATACGACTCTAATGTACCCTGCCTCAGAATCACGTCAATGCATTGTATTGCTTCAGTTGGAGGGTTCAATGAACTACCCCCGGAAACCATAAACCTGCAAACACGAATAGTACCAATAAAACCAAGCAGATGCTAAAAATTAAAATAAAAAATATTATATTCTTACTGGTTTATTCTGTCCAAGTCTACAAGTCCAGTATATTTGAAAGATACTTCAAATTTCATAGTTTTCCCGTTGTCATCTAATAGCTCCACCTATGTATACAATATGTAAAAAAATTAACAATATAGTTATATGAGTCGTCGAAACGAAACGAAAAGATTATCAAGGTTGATTAGGTTAGACAATAGAGAAACTTTACTTTACTTTATTTTAATTTAACTAAACTTTACTTTACTCCAATTCGAAATCTGTGGAATCAGTGGGTTGACCTTTCACCAAAATTTTATAATCCTTCAGAAACGTTACTGTAGATGAGCAGGTTGTGGCATTCAGAGGGAGATGTCCATTTCGACAGTTCATGCCATAGAAACTAGCTAAATACGGCAACAAATTTTGGGTTCTATGTGATTCTGCCACTTGTTAAGTTTGGAATATTCAACCCTACACGGGCAAAGAAATAGGGAGGTGTGCCTGAAAGAAACCAAGGCATGCGTGTAGTCCTTGATTTGACTCGCGACCTGAAAGGGCATAATCTTACGGTGGATAACCTTTTTACATCATATCAACTTGGACAAAAACTATTAGAAAAACTTATCACTGTAGTAGGGAACCACACGTAAGAATAAGCCGGAATTACCTCCAGAAATAGTAGCAACAAAGGGAAGACCGTTATATTCATCATGTTTTGCTTTTACCAAAGATACTACACTTGTTTCTTACATACCCAAAAAAATAAGTCAGTGAATCTTCTCAGCACGTTGCATCACAGCTTAGAAGTGAATAATCGCGCAGACAAAAAGCGTGTAATATTTTTTTTATAGAATAGGGTAAACAAACGAGCACACAGTCCACCTGACGGTAAGTGGTTGCTGTGGCCCATAGACATCTACATCTATCCTCGATTACAAAACCAAATGTAGATACGTTGTCACCCGTGAGGACTGAGATGGAATGCCTCGTTTCCAGTAAAAAGAGTCTCATACGAAATACAGCCGAATTAAGCTACTATTTCACGCTGATATTCTGTGAGATCTAGAATAGAGAATTTAATATATCCATACTAGTGTAATAATTTTAGACTACAACAAATGTAAGGGTGGCGTGGATACACTGAATAAAGCTGTCTCCTGTTACAGTTGCAAAAGAAAAACAAAACGATGGCCTCAAATGGTATTTAGTAACATGGTAGACATATCAGCCTACAATGCTTTCATATTATTCACGACTGGCAAAAGCAGCTGGAAGGAAGGCTGCCTGGCAAAACGGCGACACTATTTGGAAAACTTAGGTATGCAATTGATGACACCGTACTTAAAAAAACAGGAAAGCATTTACCGAGGGCACCCTTTTCAATAGAAATTGCAAAAAAGCTTAGTTAATGTAATGACAATATACAGAGTCCATCAATTTCGACCCAACAAGACACAAACAGCATGTGTTTAGCTAAAAAGGCTCTCAAAAGAAGTCGTAGCCAACTATGTACTAAAACTGACAATAAAACACCTTTTATTTGCGTAGATTGTAAGAAATTCGTACGTAAAAAACAATCTAATACAGTTGTTCTATGATATCTAAGATATAATTTCATTGACATTTTTTTACATATTGCTCAGTTTCTTTTTATATAAATGTCTAACAACATTGTAATTATTTTTTTCATTTTTTCCATTACACATTTGTATCCTGAACTGGATACTATTAGTACTATTTTGTACTGGGTCAAATCTGACCGGAAGCATGGCAACGTTTGCAAAATTAAAGACCTCATGAAGGTTAAGAATCTAATATTGAACGTACTGATTTCTTGGTTGGCATGCCTAGTCAAATAAGTCTGAGAGCTGTAAAAAGGTATTTCTTAGATATGGTTGAGTATAGTACCATATACTAAAAACACAGATTATGAAAGACTACAATCTGCTGCTTTATCTTTCTTATGTAAACATTTTTTACAGACTAAGGATGGCAAACGAGCAAACAGTCCAACTGGTAGTACTAAGTGAAAGGCCCCTAAATATCCTTGATTAAGAATGGAAAGAAGATGGAATTGTTGCCAGTAAAAAGTACTTTGGTTTACTACACTCACCGTCCGAAACACAGCAGGTAATATTATGGACGGGTGTGATACTTCCTCGGTCAAGCCGAGCTTTTCGTATTATAGCCATAATGTTTTTTTAAAAAGAATATTAACAATGCTATAAGCATTACTAATATTCCCCTTAAACACTCGTGGTAAGCTTAAATTGCTTGTGTTACGAGTGGTTCACGCCAGTAGTCGAATGGCGGATTCGAACCCACAACTTTTTTGAGTTCGCGGTCCGCGCCCCGCCATTAAGCTACTGTCGCTTAATATAACTGCAGCATAGCTCTACCATGTAGAAAAATTATGAGAAAGCCTTTTTTGTTAATGTTTTTGCTACAGTTGTAATTGTACAGTAGAAAGTGATATAGCGTATAAGCGTATAAGTGATACTTGCTAGTAACAAGTTACGCGTGTTTAATTGGTTGACTCTAGTAACTAGCCGATTTTATGAAATGATGCATGACTACCTAACTTATTACATACTAACTTAAACGGTACACAGAAGTTGCTTAAAACAAAATTGTTTAACCTGGGAATTGTAACGAGATTCACAGCTAGCCCGTAAGATGAAGAAATAAAAAAAATTGAACAGTTCAAGGCACTTGTCGCTCGCGCCCACGTAGCACGTAGGTCACAGCCAGTGCACGCCAAGACATCTTCGAGTTTGGTACGTACGTTAATAAATAAATAAATTAAATACCGTACGTTATTTGTTTTAAAATTCTCCCCGATCAAGTAATAATTCCCTCACAAAAGATTTATACTCACCTCTTTAGCGAAACGCGTATGATCGTTTACCCCTGGTAACGGATGAATGGAGTAACAATTTTTCGCTTGATCGAATGCAAGAGTATGGTTCCGAAAAAGTATATCTTTTGCTTTACAGAAGGCGCGTGGTATCATCTTTTTTGGTTTATCCGGTTTAAATCCCACATCGTAGCGATGCTGAAACAAATTGTAACTTAAAAAACTGTAAAAAGTAATAGCACATACATCTAATACTACATCTATTATATACATACTACTCTACATCAAACGTTAAACCATTCATAGTAGGAATCAGAACATCATCATTATACAGGTTTCCAAGGGAGAGTATAATTAAAAAAATATACTTTGTTAATTAAATCTTGTGGTCGAGATACTTATTTGAAATTGAGCATACTGATATGACATGAAGCAAAAGATAATTGACGATGAAATGGAACGAAAAAATATTAAAATGGCGTTAGCAATTATTTTAAAAAGGTTTTGAGAGTGTTGCATCATCACATTAAATGTTACTGTTAGATGAAGATTTATATATAAACATACATAAACATAAACACTCACGCCTGTCACCCAGAGGGGTAGGCAGAGACTACGGACTTCCATTTGGCACGATCCTGACATACCTCTTTCGCCTCCTTTACATCCATATATCTACGCATACATGCTCGTCGGTTAAGGGTACTTCTAACGTGGCCCCTTTCAAAATATCGCCAATTTGGTCGATAAACTTTTTTCTAGGGCGTCCCTTCCCGACTCGGCCGTTCACATCTGCCATATAAATTTGCTTTGTCACTCTTTCCTCATTCATTCTTTCTACATGACCAAACCACCGAAGCATTCCTTTCTTAATCCTGGTCACAACATCATCTTGCATACCACATTTATCTCTTATCATGCAATTTCTCGCCCTGTCATTCAGATTCAACCCTAGCATACTCCTTAAAGATCGCATTTCTACAGCATTTATTCTACTTTCGTGCTTCTTCTGCCACACCCAGCTTTCACTACCATACATTAAAGTAGGGACTAACACAGCATTATGAATTACCATACGTGCCTTTTTTGACACATTCTGGTTCTTCATAATAGAGTGTAGTGCCCCATTCACTCAATTCCCTGCATTTACTCGTCGTTCTATATCCCTATCATATCTACCATCCCTGCTAAATACACATACCAAATACACAAACTCATCCACTTGCTCAATTAACTCTCCTTCTATTCTTATTTCACATACCGTTTTGCTTTCTTCTCTTTCAAAAATCATCACTTTCGTCTTATTTGCGTTCACTTTCATTCCCCTTATTTATATATAAATATTAGATATATAAGAAACACATACTATTCGATATCAAATATTACTACTTACGATTTTTTTGAACTGAAGCGTCATCGGTAGATAATTTGTCAGTACAACAATATTTGTAACAGGAACAGTTGAGCGGCGTATAGCTAATGGCATTTTATTTAATGACAAAGTCGGCGACGTCCTAGCAGCTTCTTTACTGGGTGGTTGGCTGTAAGCTGGCTGTGGTGTCATAGCACCTGGAGTTTGGGTAGCTTGTGGAATATCTTTTTCATTTCCTTCCATTCGTCCAGGACCGCGACCGCGACTTTGACCGCCGCTGGATTGTTGCTGTTGACTTACACTAACTGCCTGTGTTTGTGGAGCTGCGCCGCCCACTTGTGCCTGAGCACCTACAGCAGCGGCCTGTGGATCTCCAGAGCCTCGCGGTGGAGGACCCCAAAATGTTGATGGTTTTTGTTCACAAGCTGGCTGCGTTGGTGGTCCGCGACCCCAGACTTGTGACTGTGGCACACCCCCCTGATCAATTTCATGTCGCTGGTGTGAACCTACAACAGCAGCCTGTGAAAATGGATGGGTATCTTGTGGAATTTGACCGCGACCGCGTCCGCGACCGCCACCGCGACCGCCACCGCGATCGCCACCGCGACCGCCACCGCGATCGCCACCGCGACCGCCACCGCGATCGCCACCGCGACCGAAACCGCCGATGGATTGTTGCTGTTGACCGGGTGCATGTTGGTATGAACCTGCAAAGGCGGCCTGTGGAATAGGATCTACAGATCGCTGTGGTGTCATAGCACCTGGAGCATGAGTAGCTTGAGGAATATCGCCGCGACCTAAACCGCCGCTGAATTGATGCTGTTGACCAGCTGCGTATTGGTGATGTGAAGGCTCTCCTTTGCTGTGAGGATGCCCACTACTGATCCCTGTAGGACCCATTTGACTTAAATCTCGTGTTTCAGGTGGAACAACAGCGGGTTGAGGGTCCGGCGCCTGTTTATCTGCTGAACCTGATGTTGTTCTCGCAACTGAAGCGGGATCCTTTTTCTTACGAGGTCTTCGTTTCTTTGAACCTTCTAAGCCTAAGCCTAAGCCATCAGTGTTTTCTTCATCTGGTTCTTTGGCTGTAGGTTGAGTCGAAACTGGAGGTTCCGTAACCGGCTGAGCTTGAGAAGTACTAGGTTCCTCGGCGATGCTCAAAGAACTCAAGGAAGGCACTTGCTCTTCCTTTTTCTCACTTTTCTTCTTTCCTATAAAATACATTAGGATGATTAAAAATTTCGTTTAAAATCGCTACAAGGCAACTGGCAAGAGATTACATATAAAATTATATAATGTTTCTCGATTTACCCCTTTTTTCTCTACAGTCTAAGGTCTAAGCCATAAATAAATGTTTTGATAAGTAAGTTTGAGTAGTAAGCACTAGATTTTTTTAAATATTTAGTGTTTTTGAAAAAAATATTAATTATTTTGTCTGTTGATGAAGCAAACTACTAAAAGACAACCATCGACCAAGACATCACAAGCCGAATCTTTATTCGCATAATATCGTGTCAAATAGCTTTATGTCGCCTCTACACGTTGGCCAACACAGTGGCGAATGTAGTGGCGAATATATTGGCCGAGAGTTGGTGACGGCGTCCACACGTTGAAAGGTCGTTCAGTTTACTTCGGTTAGGGCCAATGTGCGGACGAATTTATTTTATTTTATACGACGGCTCCGTGGCGCAGTGGCTTGGCAATGAGTGGCTGTGCCAGGGGTCGCGGGTTTGAATCCCGCACGGAACAAGTATTTGTATATCCTACAAATAATTGTTTCGGGTCTGGATGTGTGTCGTTGTGCAATTTGTGTTTGTAAGTTGCCTCCGCGACACAGGAGAAAATCCAAGTGTGGGGGGTAACGTTTTTATAAAAGAATAGTGAATATTAATGGGGCTGTAAATAGATATACGATATACGATTAGCTTTATTTATTCTTTACATGCATCAGAAACTTGAATAAATACCATTAATAAGAACTTAACTTATTTTAAAGTTAAAGGAGTTATAATCGTTTAGTCTATGTTTTAAAATTGGGTTTTGTTTTTAAAGTTTAGCAAAACATGTACTTGCTTTTCTATCAGACATTTGATGTATATAGAAAACACCTTATAATTTATTTGGTAATTTAATTATTTTTTGAGAAAGACAAAAACAGTAGCAATAAATATAATTAACACTGTCTTAATAATAGGTACTAATTATAACTTAGAACATAAATGAAAAACTCATGACAAGGAAAGTGGCTCAGGACCATATTTTGCGGCATTCTTTGGAGGAGGATGTTCAGTCGTGGACTTGTGAAGAGCTGTAATGATGATGATGACAAACTAGCACATAGTTCACCTGATGTTAAGTGGTTGCTGTGGCCCACAGACATCTACATCTATCCTCAATTACGAATCAAAATGCAGATGCGTTGTCACCCGTGAGGACTAAGATGAAATGCCTCGTTTCCCTTAAAAAGTGTCTCTGGTTCTCTACACTCACTATACGAAACACAGTCATCAAGCTACTACTTTACATTGATATTCTGTGAGAGCGTGGTCCTTCCCCGGTCGAACCGACCCATTCGTGCTACAACTATACTTCTAATATTTTTTATTTTATTTTAAAATTGTTCCGTAATAATCTGATTGTAAATAAATGTTAATTATTTTTTTATAAATAGCTTATCGATTAAAACAAATGTTTAAAAATAATTAAATCGCGCTAATTAAAGTAGTAGGAATGTTTAAAGTTGAAATTGGCACTAAAAGGCTGGTAATTGGGTCATTCACCCTACAAAGCGTGAATATAAAATTTTAATCAGATGCGTGTAATCACTCTGGGAGCTTGTATCAAAATAAACTCGCGGCCAACGTGTGGACGCGGCGACCAAACTCTGCCAACAATCCTTTGATAAAAAACCGACACCACACGGATCTCGCGCCAACTTGCGGGCCATCGTTCCAATACATACCAATGAAGCCCAAACACCCCGTCTACACGTTGGCCAATGCTATTGGCCACTACATTCGCCACTGTGTTGGCCAACGTGTAGAGGCGCCGTTATACAACATCGATAAATTTGTGTACGCGTGTCATGTTTGATTTGATCATGTGTTTAGAGAACCGAAGACCCTTTTTACTGGAAACGAGGCATTCCATCTTAGTCTTCACGGGTGACAACGCATCTGCATTTTGATTCGTAATCGGGGATGGATGTAGTATTCAGGTGGACTGTGTGCTCGTTTGTCACCCTATCCTATAAAAAAATGTTTGACAGTAGATATGGTAATAATAGTTAATTTTTTTTAATAATTAAAAATTATTTGTTGAAAAAAAAACTGTTATTTTAAGTGGTTAAAAATAATAGTTATAGTTTTTTATTCAAACACTGAGATATTAAGTTGATAGTTTCAACGAGCTGAACGATTTCTTTCTTTCAATACTAAGAGGCCGATGCTAGTCGTCTGCCAATCGGACGACTAAACTATTTTATTTGTCTGCATAATATTATAACATATATACAACACAGTTTGTAGTGAGGGTCGAAATTGATAAGAAACTGGTACTTATGGAACCATGTAGTGTATTAACTCACTGGCACTAATCATACAATATTTGTATAAATAAAAAATACTTATTCTTAAAAAATATATTTTAAGATTCTGACAATTTCTAAGCGCTTTTAATCGTCGCGGGCGCTACGCTATTTTAGACCTTATGACGGCGTTTTTTTTTTTCAAGTTTTTATAGAAATTATGTATTCACTCGGATCAGTACGGCGATAGCCTTTTCGATGTGTCGTCTTAAGTAAACAAAATGAACTGCAGTAATTACAAATTGTTTATTAGACGCAAATAGCCTAATCATACGAATAGAAGTATCAGAGTACCTATATTTATTTAAATGTCTTATTATCTTATTTATTTTTTTATTTTTTTATATTTAAAAAATATCTGTTGAATAAAAACATCTAAATAAAACACGATAACCGTATAAATAAAAAAATATCGTTCGATTATCGTATTAATAGACACTTCCGATTGACAAAAGAATTGGTGCGAAGAATCTCCGGGAGGAAAACCGGCGACGAGGCTCGCCACCCGTCACGTTCTGTCTCCCGGTGGGGCGAAAAGTGGATTGCAGAGGCCCGTCTGGCTACTTTGAATGTATGTGGAGCAATGAATGATAAAATGGATGAAGTATGCGAGGTGATGTATGATAGAGGAATAGATTTGTTATGTGTAAATGAGACGAAACGGAAGGGGAAGGATGTCACTACACATGGCATGTATACCGCATACTGGTCTGGTGTAGACGAGCTCGAGCGGGCATGCCAGGGAGTAGGTATCATCCTATCAGAAAGAATGGTGCAATGTGTGAAAGAGTATGAATGTGTAAGCCCAAGACTGCTATGGATACGATTGAAAGTGGGCTTAAAGAAGTTGTTTGTGCTAGGGGTCTACGCCCCAGACATGTCTAAGCCCACTCATATCCGAGAGCAGTTTTGGGAAATGGTAAGGATGGTATTAATGAAATGTAAGGGAAATGAAAATGTTGTTATGCTAGGAGATTTTAATGGAAGAGTTGGGGTGAGGAGGCTTGGTTATGAAAGGATATTGGGAACGTTTGGTGATGAAAGTATAAATGAGAATGGTGAAAGCCTCCTCACTGTATGTATGGAAAAGAATCTTTTTGTGACGAACACTTTCTTTCGCCACAAGAGGATTGACATGTACACTTGGGAAAGAGGTGATGATAGAAGCATGATAGATTTCATAATTGTGGATGAAAGATTGAGGGGCGCAGTGGTGGATACAAGGGTTTACCGGGGGTCAAACGTAGGAACGGATCATTTTTTGGTTTTATGCCGAATTAATGGTCTATTCAGGCGGTGGCGCCATCGGTAATCTGTGTCTACCACTGCGTTACAGCGTATTAGAACAGAAAGATTACAAGATGAAGGTGAGAAAAACAAGTTTAAATGTAGACTGAAAGAAAACGTAAGTGGTTTGGATGAATTATGTATGAATGAATTAGACTTGGAGAATGTATGGCAAAATGTTAAGAAAGGTTTAGTAGATGCAGCTACCGAAGTATGTGTTGTTAGTAAAAGAAAGAATGAAAGGAAAAATAATACGTTATGGTGGGATGATGAGATACGTACGGAAGTTGAAGCAAAGAAGAGAGCATGGCTAGATTTACTAGCAACTAAGGCTGGTAATTCTAGCGGTACGAATGATGATTTTGAAAGAAAAAAGGCAGTCTTTAGACATCTAAATAAAAGAGTAAAACAAGTAGTTGAAAGGAAAAAGCAAGAAAGAACGGATAAGAATGATAGAAGAATATCGGATAACTTCCAGGCAAATATTAAAATGTTCTGGAAACTCGTAAGAACTGCCAGGGGATGTTCAAAACAGCCTATAATGAATGCTATAAGAGATGAGAATGGCTATATTCCGAATGATGAAGTTTTGAGTTTAAAGAGATGGAAGGAATATTTTGAAAGCATGTTTATGAGTGAAGGAGACAACGTATGAACTGAATGAAATAGGAACTCCGAAAGAAGAGGAAGGAGGTAGCGAGATAAGTATAGATGAAATAATGAAAGCAATGAAAAGCATGAAAGCAGGTAAGGCTGCCGGATATGATAGAGTTTCACTCGAAATGCTAAGGGCTGGAGAGGAAGTGGTGGCAGGCCTGCTGCACACCTTGTTTAATTTATGCTGGGAATTGAAGCGGGTACCGGGAGACTGGTGCAAAGCCGTGATAGTCCCAGTATATAAGGGAAAAGGGTCGCAGCAGGACTGTAAAAACTACCGCGGTATCAGCCTTCTTAGCATCGTGGGAAAACTGTATGCCAAGGTACTAATTGAAAGGGTCATGAAAGAAACCGATGGAAAAATTTGGGATGTGCAAGCGGGATTTAGAAAGGGAATGGGATGTACAGATCAAGTCTTCTCCATGCGCATGATCGCGGAGAAGTTTTTGGCCAAAAACCAAAAGGTTTTTTGTGCGTTCATGGACTTGGAGAAGGCCTATGACAGAGTGGATAGGAATGTGCTATGGCAAACACTGAACTCATTTGGGTTGAGCGCTGGCTAGATACAGGCATTGGAATCTCTTTATAGGGCCTCTAGTGCTTGTGTTAGGATCAACGGGGTCTACTCGGACTGGTTTGGCATCCATAAAGGTGTCAAACAGGGCTGTGTGGCTTCCCCGTGGTTGTTCAACCTATTTATGGACAGTTGTTTGCAAAATTTGAAAGTTGAAGAATGCGGATTAAGAATGGGTGAGTTAACCATCAAATGCCTTTTGTACGCCAATGATCAAGTTATTCTTACGTCGTCGGCGGCTAAGTTGCAAATGATGGTTACATTAATGAACAGATCATTAAAAGAAAGGGGTATGAAAGTGAACGCAAGTAAGACAAAAATTATGGTTTTTGAAAGAGATGAAAGTAAAACGATATGTGAAATAAGAATAGAAGGGGAGTTGATCGAGCAAGTAGATGAGTTTGTATATTTGGGTTGCGTATTTAGCAGGGATGGGAGATATGATAAGGATATAGAACGACGAGTGAACGCAGGAAACAGAGTAAATGGAGCCCTGCACTCTATTGCGAAGAGTCAAAATGTGTCAAAAAAGGCACGTATGGCAATTCACAATGCTGTGTTGGTCCCTACTTTAACGTATGGTAGTGAAAGTTGGGTATGGCAGAAGAAGCACGAGAGTAGAATAAATGCAGTAGAAATGCGGTCGTTAAGGAGTATGTTAGGGCTGAATCTGAATGACAGGGTTGAAAAATTGTGTGATAAGAGAAGAGTGTGGTTTGCAAGATGATGTTGTGACCAGGATTAAGAAAGGAATGCTTCGGTGGTTTGGTCATGTGGAAGGAATGGATGAGGAAAGAGTGACAAAGAAAATTTATGTTGCAGAAGTGAATGGCAGAGTCGGAAAGGGACGTCCTAGGCGAAAATTTATCGACCAAATTGGCGATTTATTGAAAACGGGCCAAATTAGGAGTACCCTTAACCGACGAGCATGCATGCGTAAGTGTATGGATGTGAAGGAGGCGAGAGAGGTGTGTCAGGATCGTGCCAAATGGAAGTCTGTAGTCTCTGCCTACCCCTCTGGGTGACAGGCGTGAGTGTTTATGTATGTATGTTATGACAAAAGAATAAATGTTAATTATTCATTCAAGTAGCAGATGTCTAGACACACCGATATATTAATAACATTAAGCCGTTATGTATAATATCATACAACACTAAATCATAATAGGTCCGTTTTCATTCTGAAACTGTCAAACCAACGACTACACAGCCCGAATATTTATTTATTTATTAATTTATTTCAATCAACAAGGATCATAGGGTAAAATAACATTCATTAACATCTATTCTAATACTAAAATAATAAATCATTACTAATATTAATTATATCAAATGCGTAAGTATTTATAAAAATATCGAAAATAAAATAATAATTTAATAATAATAATAAAATAACATAAATCGATTTTACCGTTCCACATACATCATATGCGATTTAATTATATATTAACAAAACCACCAACAAAACTTACCATAATGATATAATACAATACTTTTTGTTAAAAATACAAAGAAAAAGTCTTAAATATATGTAAGTAAAATTAGGTGATAAATTAGTTCATATACCTGGGGTGCCTATCCGAGGTAATGGTTACATGGACACGAACCCAGTGCCTCAGAAAAGCACACTCGGGTTTCTCACTAATTACGTTAAGAATGCTGTTGGCGCTCCCACGAACCCTGTGCGTGACGCGGTTCTTTTGCGAATAAGTGTTGAAAAATTGTCTACGTGGGCGTTAACAAACATACCTGATGCACTACAGTAACGTGGGAGCCCCAGCAACAATCTAAAAGCGTTATTATATTGTGTACGTAGGGTGTTGTATGCCCGCCGCGTAATATCTGACCCATAAGGCACACGTATAGAGGGATTGGCAATAGGCCTTAAATAAAATAACTTTTACTTCGGCTGTACAGCGTGAGAACCGACGGGCCAGCATATTGCAGCGGACAGCCAGCGCTCTCCTTTCTCTTTCAATGTCTTTATCATCTTTTAAATCTTCGGTAACAACATGGCCTAGGTACTTAAATTCAGTTACTCGTTTAAGTGCAACACCCCCTAAAGTTACAGGTGGTACGAAATTTGGTTTTTTCGTGCCCACCTTAAACATCATGAGCTCACTCTTCGCAACATTATATTTTAGACCGTAGGCTTCTGCATAAACCTCACATATGAACAAAAGCCGTCAGATTGCAGTGACTGACGGGCTCAGAAGCACCATGCCGTCTGCGTAACTGATGTTGTTCATTCAGAGTCCATCAATAGAGCAGCCGATACGTGCACTCCCGAATCTATCAATCAGTTCATTTATATATAAATTAAAAAGCGTAGGTGAGGTTAATCCCCCTTGTCTCACACCGCATTCCAATCTGTACTCGTCCAACAGTGCACTAGATCACCTTACCTGATTAATTTGATGACCGTACCAATAGCTAAAAATACTAATGTACGAGACGGGTAGACCAGCCTTTCGCAATTTATCCCACAGAATGTCATACCTGACAAGGTCGAAAGCCTTTGAAAGATCCAGGAAGGCTGCGTACACTGGCGTATTCCTTACAGTGTAATACCCCACAGTGTGTTTCAGCGACAGTATTGCACACTCAGTTGATAGATTTGGTCTAAAACCAAATTGTGCATCGTTTAACTTAATATGTACTTTTAACTTTCTCTCAAGCATACTGTCAAGTATCTTAGCCGCAGTTGTCGCTAATGAAATGGGCCGATAGTTGCACATATCTGAAATATCTCCAGTTTTGTTTTTCAAAATCGGAACTACGACCGTTCTCATCAGCTCTTCCGGCAAATACGAGTGCCTCATGCATAGGGTGAAAAAGAGCGCCAGTAGTCTAGGTAAGTACGGACCAGCGAACTGAAAGTGCTCGATGCTAAGGCAATCGTGACCAGGTGACTTTCCTCCAGTCATGCCATTTATCAAAACAGCGATGTCCCTGGCGGTGATGCGATCAGGCACATGAGTTGATGCACCAGTGTGGTGATGAACCTCAGCATCGACTTTAACATGTGACTGTAAAGAAGACTGAACCCGGAACTGACTCTTAAAAAGATTGGCTATCTTCGCCGGTTCATTTACACCCCCAACGCTCACCGGGGTACCTGCTTTAGGACTCAACTGCTTAGTATGCTTCCAAAACCCACGAAAATCTTTATTCCTATGTTGATACGCTAGTTTATTCATCTTGATCTGGTCTTGATTATTTTGACAAAACTTAAGTTTTCGTTTATAATAGACGCCTAATGTATGTACTTCTGCATCCAAACCTGACTGCCAAAAGTCTGAGGTAAGCGGTACGGGGGAGGCGGGTTGAAATGCACGCTAATTGGTTAAAATCAAGGTTGCAACACTTGCTAATAAGCAAATAGTGATGGAAACTTTAACTAATAAATTTGGTACGAAGGCTACTTAATCAGTACCAGAATTATATTCTACTATAATATAAATTAGTACAAAAAAAAACAAAAGAAGTTTTATTTAAATAGGTATCGTATTTAGTAAAATGCCTATAATTTTTTGTTTTAAAGAATATTTTTATCAAAACAAGCTTTCTTTACAATATTGAAATAATAATAGAATACTATTAAAAATAAAATAGCAACAGTTATTTAAAATGTCAAGTTCACTTCCGTTTCCTACTTGTCTTGACATGGCGTCTTAGCAGTAAAGAGGGCGGAGTGCCGTCTATTAAAAATTATATCAATTTTATTATGAATTTTTTAAGAAGTTTTGAATAATTTAATTTATTAATTAAATCAATTACTTGAAATATGGATTAACGTACATTCGCTTAAAAAATTCAGCTTACATCTATGTCGCTTATAGCATAAGTCTGTAAAACATTCACGATAACATGCATAATATTTACTTGTACCAATATTATAGTTTAACTGATACAGCACTAGTTAGTTACACGTGCCGGTAATTAACGAAAAGTATAGCAACAATAAACTGCATTGAAAAGAAAGGGATGCATAGTCCGAAAATATCCGAAGATGTCCGAATAAATCGACGCGAGTTGCTTGTGACAAATATAGGTTGAGCTCTGATTTAATTTTAATTAATGGATTTTGAAATTAAAATTCACTTATCTATGAAAAGTGATGCCATTTTTTTACACATTTAGCTACTATTTCCGCACTATTTTGCGCGTAACACGGAACCATGTTGCGCGTCTGTTGTATTTTATTTTGTCGAAAATTCACGAGTCACATGCAAGATGTTCACGGATCAGGGAAGTGGTCGCTACTGAAGTAGATCGTGCGATCGTTTTCTAAGTAAGACGTATTTGTCTAACGTGTTAACAGAATGTGTTTGCCTTGCATGAGGCGTCTCTTCGGGCTGTGTAGTCGTTGTGTCAAACATATAATTGTCACTTTGACATTATATGTCATATTATAACGTTCATACTGCCAAGTTTTAGTAATGTTAAAACATAATGTTAATATAATAAGACCAATATCAAGCACTTCATATTACGTGGTCAATCAGTTGCAAAGTTTTTTTTTTAATATTATGTGGTGTGTGTATAAAATCAAAAATGTTTATAACATACTTTGTATACTAGATAGTGTTTTATATATTAATATACAAATAATATAAAAATATAGTAAATTACTATTTAATTTGGACCGCAAGTAAATATTTATAACGTAAATGTAAATAAGTTAATGCGTATGTAAATATAAATAAGTCAGTGCTTATTGAAGACATACTTCTCATGTTCTCGAAATACTTTATTCCTCAGACACGCAGGTTTCCTCGTTATGTCTTGCTTCACTAACGAGCACGTGAAAAAATTACAATTAAATATTCCAATGGTGCCGGGCGGGGGGATAGAACGTCGAATGCTCTCGTGCCGTGAATTTTACATCGAGCGCTTAGCCGCTAACAATAACAACCACTAAACAAAGTAAATTAAGATTTATTGACTTACCTCTTCCCATTTTTGTGTCGATTTCTGAAACAAAAATAAAGAATTAGAAAACATCTAAGACTTTGTAGTGTAACGTTAAATCTTTTTACATATACCTACACATAAATTAGACATGGACCAACATCCTAAATTAGAATATTTATTTGTATACAAATAATTGTTCCGTACGAGACTTGTCCGCATCTGTAATATCGTCGATATTACTGATCAAAAATGAAGGACGACATTATAAAGTTTATAAATAATTGCATTGTTAGCAATCAGGCAAAAGTTAAATTATACAACGATTTAATTTAGTTCCGTGGGCTTCGAGAAATATTTTTTCATTTAAGTTTACTAAAAATATTTAAGGACGCGTTTACAAAATGGATAGGTATAGAATCGCACTACTACATTGACAAAAGTCACACACACACTAGTGTACGCACGGTTGGCTGTGGGAATCGTAGTCAAATGAAATTATTTTGATAATTTGAAAGATTGAATTTGTTTTTCATTTCTTATACCTACCTCAGAAATATACTTCGATACGAAATATGAATACCTGCTCCAAAGACTGCTTGGCACTGGAAGCCCTCTACTGGTAGTGAGATGTTAGCTCTGGACTTTGAACTGGTTTTGTCAGTTATAATAAGACCTTACCTACCTGCGGACTTGATGGAGTGACCTGAAGGTGTAATTTGGTGATTACAACAATAGGAACTCCTAGACTAGTGGAACTAGGTGTGCCGAGTTTTAGTTCGATTTGTTGGTTATGATGAGACCTTACCACCGGACTTGATGGAGTTACCTGAAGGTGTAATTCGGTGATTACAAGTGGAACTCCTAGACTAGTAGAACTAGGTGTGCCGAGTTTGGGTTCGTTTTGTTAGTTATGATGAGACCTTACCACCAGACTTGATGGAGTGACCTGAAGGGGTAATTCAGTAACTACTGCTGGAATTTCTGAACGAGTAGAACTAGATGTGCCGAATTTGGGCTCCGTTTTGTTAGTTATGACGAGTCCATACCTCCGGACTTGATGGAGTGACCTGAAGGTGTAAATCGGTGATTGCAACTGGAACTCCTAGACTGGTGGAACTAGGTGTGCCGAGTTTGGGTTCGTTTTGTAGGTTATGATGAGACCTTACCACCGGACATGATGGAGTGACCTGAAGGTATAGTTCGGTGATTACAAGTGGAACTTCTAGACTTGTAGGACTAGGTGTGCCGAGTTTGGGTTCGTTTTGTTAGTTATGATGAGACCTTACCACCAGACTTGATGGAGTGACCTGAAGGGGTAATTCAGTAACTACTGCTGGAATTTCTGAACCAGTAGAACTAGGTGTGCCGAATTTCACTCCATCAAGTCCGGTGGTAAGGTCTTATCGTAACTAACAAAACGAAACCAAACTCGTCACACCTAGTTCTACTAGTCTAGGAATTCCATTTGTAACCACCTGATTACACCTTCAGGTCACTCAATCAAGTCCGGTGGTAAGGTCTCATCGTAACTAACAAAACGAACCCAAACTCGGCATACCTAGTTCTACAAGTCTAGGAGTTCCACTTGTAATCACTGAACTACACCTTCAGGTCACTCCATCAAGTCCGGAGGTATGGACTCGTCATAACTAACAAAACGAAGCCCAAATTCGGCACACCTAGTTCTACTCGTTCAGAAATTCCAGCAGTAGTTACTGAATTACCCCTTCAGGTCACTCTATCAAGTCCGGTGGTAAGGTCTCATCGTAACTAACAAAACGAACCCAAACTCGTCACACCTAGTTCTACTAGTCTAGGAATTCCATTTGTAACCACCTGATTACACCTTCAGGTCACTCAATCAAGTCCGGTGGTAAGGTCTCATCGTAACTAACAAAACGAACCCAAACTCGGCACACCTAGTTCTACAAGTCTAGGAGTTCCACTTGTAATCACTGAACTACACCTTCAGGTCACTCCATCAAGTCCGGAGGTATGGACTCGTCATAACTAACAAAACGAAGCCCAAATTCGGCACACCTAGTTCTACTCGTTCAGAAATTCCAGCAGTAGTTACTGAATTACCCCTTCAGGTCACTCTATCAAGTCCGGTGGTAAGGTCTCATCGTAACTAACAAAACGAACCCAAACTCGGCACACCTAGTTCTACCAGTCTAGGAGTTCCAGTTGCAATCACCGATTTAGACCTTCAGGTCACTCCATCAAGTCCAGAGGTATAGACTCGTCATAACTAACAAAACGGAGCCCAAATTCGTCACCCCTAGTTTTACTCTGCAAGAAGTTCAAATAGCGGTCACGAAAGTACACCTTCAGGTCATGCCATCAAGTCCAGAGGTAAGGTCTCATCATAACCAACAAAACGAGCCCAAACTCGGCACACCTAGTTCCGCTCGTCCACGAGTTGCAGTAGTAGGTAAGTTTATATATCCTACTTATTTTTAGCTAAATAAAAACTGTGAGTATAAAAATAATAATTTTATCACTTGTCTAGTACTTATGTTTCCAATTTGTTTTTTTCTAATATTTTGTGTATGTACAGCGATCTTTTCAGAATGAGCCGCTGCAAACAGGCGATACAGTGTCCACTCACGACGGCGGCCGAGCGCGGACTGTGGTTTCATCGAAATCTTTGTACAATAAATCAAAGCAGGCACCAACAATAAAATAGCCCTTATTGCAATACATTATGATTCATCCATATTACCAAAATATGTGAAAAAATGTGCATCAGTTTTTATTTTTTTTACGACTATTTGTGACATTTTGTTAAAAAATAAACCCAGGGTTTTTTAATTGAATATGTCTGTCATCTTATAGTATTTTTTAAATTTTTAAATATGTTGATAATAGACCAAAACATCTACCGAAACACAAGCCGGTATCGTTAATTTTGTAGAAAATGGCAACGAAAGTTCGTTTTTACAATATAAAAAACTACTATTTTCAACAAAAGAGTTACAGACATTAGCAGATGAAGAACCAATCTATACATGGTAGTTTTTACTTATATTTGATTTGGTTTAGTTTTGTCACAAAATCTACCGAAAAACACCCTAATTTTGGTTGATTTGCAAACGCGTCCTTAACTATCGTTGACTTATTTTCGAAATATGCACATGCATATAATATTAGCGACGGAACTGCGATCAGCATTTAGCGATCCTACTCAAGTTTTGCACATATCACGATTTTCTTTTCAGATGAAGCACGACATTTTCAAATAAATTATTTCACGTGTTTTTTTATTTGTATAGAGTATATCGTCATTACAAACTGCTTCGTGGACTAAGTATCGTATATTCATACATATATGAAGTCATAATCAGCACAAATCAGACAAACGAGCACACAGTCCACCTGCTGGTAAGTGGACGCTGTGCCCCATAGACATCCACATTTATCCTCAATTAAGGATCAAAATGCAAATGCGTTGTCACTAAGATGGAATGCCTCGATTCCAGTAAAAAGGGTCTCCGGTTCTCTACACTCACCATACGAAACAAAGCAGCATAAGGCTGCTATTGTACGTTGGTATTATGTGAGAGCGTGATCCTGCCCCTTTCGAGCCGACACATTCGTGCTACTACTATAATATAACTACAAAGTGACTATCAACTTGATGTCAATAAAAAGGATCCAAAACCTCTGCATAATGAGGAATTGTCGAGCCCTTCTTTTTTGAAAATTCTCGTGAGCCGTTATGTTAAAAGGCGTTTTCACTTCAGTGGTTAAAAAAATCAAGAACTGTGATTTCAAGAATATGGTTTCAACAAGATGGAGCCACCAACCACATCAAATCAGGATTGTGAAATAAAAATTCCCAAGCAGACTGATTTCAAAAAAGGAATGATATTCGTTGGCCCTCAGCCTTTTTTGTAGGAATAACACAAACAAATAGTGTATCCCGACAATCAAGTGAATAATCGGAATGAGGTGGCTACAATTACTCCGACATTATTGAATAAAGTTTTTAAAAACCTCCGCTTCCGTTCGGCGAAGTGCCACCACCGAGGGGACATCATTTAAAAGCTTAATCTCGAAATAAATTGTAATTCTCAAAGTCGCTCAGCGAGCTATGGAGAGGGCTATGCTCGGAGTTTCTCTGCGTGATAAACTTAGAAATGAGGATATCCGCAGTAGAACCAGAGTGACCGACGTAGCCCAACGGATTAGTAAGCTGAAGTGGCAATGGGCCGGCCATATAGCTCGAAGAACCGACAACCGATGGGGAAAAAAGGTTCTCGAGTGGCAGCCTCGTACCGGTAAGCGAAGTGTAGGGCGACCCCCCACTAGATGGAGTGACGACCTGGAAGTAACGCAAGAAGTCAATGGATGCAGGTGGCTCAAGACCGTGCTTTGTGGCATACTTTGGGGGAGGCCTATGTTCAGCAGTGAACTTGTGAAGGGATGTAATGATGATTATGATGATGAAATCGTTCATTTTATTTTATCAGTCCGTTTTATATTTTTATTAATATGCTTTAAATATACACGTTTTATTGCGCCACACGTATACTTCTTTTTGTACTTTTTATTAAATTATCTAAATGTACGCGGTGGGCCCAACGGCCACCCCAGTCGCACTTCAATCTACTGTCGCTGATAATACAAGATATCGAACATCGGCTGAATATCATTCAGGCCGCTAGTAGAACGGCGTCGTTGAGTAAAAAAAGCTAAGCTATGCTGTTAATTGTAAGGTTAATTAAGCTGGTTGGTTTGGACATATTAGATTCTTTTTTTATTAAAATCACGAGCCATCCGCTTGTTCCTTAAAAAAATGAATTAATTTCATAATTTAATAACGATTTAAGGTAATTTTCGAAGACAAATTTCAAAAGGATTTCTCTTAATAAAATTAATTCTTGACCCATTGGATTATCCTTAAGTCAAACTAGGCACGTGCCTAGAGACGAACGGTTTAATAGGGGCGCTCACGGAGTGCACGCGCCCCTTTTTTTTACATGGATGCTCGCATGCTCTACCCTGGTAGAAAACAATATTGTAAATATTTAAAAAGCAGGT